TTGTCTGTGCATACTAAATAAAACCGAGTTATGGCTAAGCGGGTTTCAACCTTCAAACTTAAACTTGCCAGATTGATTGGAAAACTCAATTAGAACCCGCCTTGAGGTTCTCAATAAATTTGAAAAGAGCTATTATTAAATTAGTTATGAATCAGTTATAAAGTTAATCATTTGTAACGAAAAATAATATTTTGAGAGCATGAAAACTGGAGAATTATAGATTATGTTGAATATTCTTCCGCGGACGTAAAGCCATTTTTGCACATATAAATATTAATAATTCCAAACCAATATGACAAAAATATGTTAAAGTTAATTTGTTTTAATTAATGACAAAACTCGTCGATGGTGTAAACCGTCTCTAATTTTGACAGGTGGATTGCAATTAACTTTCAGCCGACTGCTTATCACTTGCTGCAAGATATGTCAACATTTCCGCTATGATGAGATCTCTCCGTTGACCTAAGAGGAAGGATCACTCTTTTTTCTGTACTGCAGGATTTTATCTTTGTCTCCTGCTATTACACTAAATAAGGATACAAGATTAATCAACATTTTTGTGTGTTAGATATGTGCTAAAATAAACGAGCACTTTCTGCGTTTTAGAAAACGAGAGGGAGGGATAGGGTAAAAGAGTGAGCAATGAGTGAAAAAAGAGGTATGAAGGGAGGGAGGGAGGGGGGGCGATGGCGCGAGTGAGAGAGAGAGGAGGGAGAGAGAAAGGGAGAGGGAGAGGGAAAGAGAGAGAGAGAGAGAGAGAGAGAGAGAGAGAGAGATGAGACAACGAAAAAAGGTAAGGATAGAGAAAGTGAGTAAGTGAAAAAAAAAGTGAGAGAGATTTAAAAAGAGGAGAGAAAGGAAGAAGTCGAAGAGAGAGAGAGAGGGGGGATGGAAAGAGAGTGGAAGGAGAGATAGATAGATAGAGATAGAGAGAGAGAGAGAGGGAGTGAGAGAGAGAGTGGTAAAGGGCAGAGAAGGAGAGGGAGACAAAGTGAAAAATGGAACAGAAACAGGGAAATACAATAAGTGAGAGAAGTGAGATAGAGAACAGAAATTATAATAATTTGAAATCATCTGACTGTGAAATCTCCATGCTGCAATGTGTATTTATAAAAAAAAAAGAAATGTATCTATACGAGTGAGACAAAGTGTGAGAGAACGCGAAAGAAAGATAGGGATCGAGAAGGTGAGTGAATGAAAAAAGTGAGAGAGAGAATGAGTGAGAAATAGAGACAGAGAAAAGAAGAGAAGGAGATAGATAGATACACATATACAGAGAGAGAGAGAGAGAGAGAGAGAGAGAGAGAGAGAGAGAGAGAGAGAGAGAGAGTGAGTGAGTGAGTGAGTAAGTGGGTGAGTGAGAAAGGGAGAGAGAGTGTGGAACAGGGCCAGAGAAGGAGAGGAAGACAGAGTGAAAAAAGGAAACAGAGAAATACAATAAGTGAGAGAAGTGAGAGAGAGAATAGAAATTACTATAATTTGGCAGCAAATGTATCTATGCTTTTTGGTAAGATTGATGAAATAAAACTCATTATCACTATACAACAGGCAACAATGCCCTGTAAATGTTTAGAAGGCACTGTCAATTTCCTTCCTGTATCCATTGAACATTCGCATTTTTTGTAGTTCGCGTGTTTTTTTAAACTCGTGTTTTCGTGTATGGTGACACACTTATGGCACTGTTGATGAGCGACCCCGGCAATTTAACGAGGTGGGTTTACAGACAAAAGGTGAACTGAGGCGCTGACATCCGGCTGTGGCGGTTTCGCGCCGTCGCCTCGGCCCCCGTACAAAAGGAAGAAAAAAAAAAAAGAAAAACTTTCTTTTCGCCAACTGTAAATACAACAAAAGATTAACGGTCCAGTTCCGAGTCGACACTAAGAAGTCACAGACAGTAACGGTCTTTTACGGATAAAACGCTCTCTGCTGACCGTGAACAAAGGGGTATAATTTTTTGAGGGTTCATTCTGTTTTTTGAGATGTTGAGAGTTAAGTCGACGTTTTGAAAGAAAGGAAGATAGTTACGAGTCATTCCTAAAAATAGGGCTTCAGCTAGTGTGTCTCTGTTATAGTGACAGTCTGAAATTTAGTAAATGAACCGGTCGAAGTGAGAAATCTCTCCAGTTAGTCATCTGACAAAACTGAAAAAAAATAGTAAAAAGCTAGTTTAAATGTAAAAATTGATCCAAGAGAGAAATGGCTTTTTTAAACAAAGCAAGCCTTGTTGGCTGTCGGCCCGCAAAATTCCTATACAAAGAGGAAATTGCAGGACGTAATAATTGTTACTTTTTAATTGTCGCGTTGGTTATGATTGTAATTGTAACCTGAGAATCATATCTATCAGTTCCATAGATTCTGGACTGTCAAATAGTCATTCTATTTGTCTCATTGCGAAGCCAGGGGGAAGTTCACAAAGCGCGTTGGGTACTCTCAACACGACACACAAGAATGACACATCTACACGGAAAACAAACACTTTGAGCCCTGAAGATGATCTCAATAAAGATCGAAACGTTGGCACGATAAAGAAAATGTTTTTCTAAAACCAACGTCACACCAGACCGCACCTGAAGATCTCCAAATAATCATTTATTACAACGTAATTACTTTTTTTATGTTTAATACGATCTGTAACCTTATGCTGTTTTCCCAATTCATGAAAAAGTTCTTCGCTGAAGAAGGCGTAAGCCGAACGCGTTTGAGTGACATCTAAATCCGCGAGGAGTGGACAGACCATATAGAGTGGTCAAGTGTTCAATAGAATAAAAAAGTGAAATTTTTTAAGATGTCTGGTAGTGTTGAACCTTTTTAAGTCGTTTCCGGTCATTTGGGCTTGCCTATCCTCGCTGGTTGGGTATGTCAGACGTTTTAGCTTTCAGTCTTCAGTGGACTTGGTCACAATGATTAATCATGTACTCTTTTTTAATGCAAAAAGCTGAGAGAGTTGCCATTTCTCAAGAAAAAAATACCCAAACTCACCACTGAGGATCGAAAACGACCAAAATAAGGGTTGATCACCCTGAAGACCACACTTTTTGCTTACGCTAAACTGATTGCCACTTAATCCCTCTGCTGGGTTTGCCTTCTCTCTCACGGGTTTAGTTGTCGTATCGGCTTGCGCCATCTTCAGTGAGGCACCTTTCTTCATTTGTTTAGATTAAACTAATTGCTCAACCTTAGGATTTTGATTAAAATTGATTGATTCTAAGTTTATGGTGGAATTAATTTGACCAAGGCTTGCCTGCTCGTTTTTGAAGCAATGAATTTTTGTAATGAAGGGATTTCATTTTAGAATAATTTAGTGAATTTGTAGGCGTACGGATTTATTAAGGGACTCAAGCATAGTTTATCATAGTCCTTCCTAATCAGCTTTACAAATCAAAATTGGATTTCTTCTTCGAGGGGACAATTTTCTGTCTCAGTGGAAACATTATGTTTTAGGTTGTTTGCTTTTGTTTGTAAGCAAATTTATTGTTGTAACATTTAACTTTAGCCCGGGCATCATCACAGATGGCCATAGCACCACGAATCTTTTTGGTCTTTCACATAATTTGATATGTTTTGTTAACTTATACGCTAATCAATAGATTCAGTTGAGATGACCCTGGATCTGATCATCCTCGCTGTTTTTGTCGGCATTTCGCCATATTCGGTGGTTGATGTGCGTGTTATTTTGTCAGCCGAGTCCTTGTGCTGGCATTGTCTCCCTTTCCTTTTCTTTGGAGTCGGTTCAGGTTTTTGCGTCCGTACTTTTTTGAATCATTATTTTTAACGGAGTATGTGAATTTCTTGTCTCGTGTGAAAAATGGCTCGATCCAAGCACTACTCGAACCTGCTACCGCTCTGTCACAAACATCACAACTTTAAATTCATGCTGGGTCTCATAAAAAATATCGTCACAATCACGAAAGTCGGGACATTTCAGATCTGGTCAAAGCTCGTGCGTCATCGGATAGATCGTGACCGCACAATTTGCTCTATCGGCGGAAACATCAGCCAGGCGCGGTGAAAAATCAATACAGGGTTTTTTTTTTGCGGTGACATCGGTCAAAAGTGTGGTTCAAAACCAATTTTGGACCGATTGGGGAATTTTATTTGTTTGAAGTGTATAATACTAAGAGGACTTTCCTGGTCCGAGGCTTGATCCAGGTGAGCCCGAAAATCTAATCAACCAATCAATTTTACTTTTTTTAATGGAGAAAAAGAAAACTTTTGATAGATGCTTAAAAGATAATAAAAGGGATTTAAAACCGACTTGATCCAGTTTGGCGGGATTAAGAATGCGGTCACAAACAAAACAAAACAGACTCCCCCCTTTTGGAAATAAGTATGAAACTGCACATTCATTCACGTTCAAATTTAGAGAATTGTAGGCCAATTCCACTAATAATAAGTACAAAATAATAATAGAAAAATAATCGTTATTCCAAATATGTTATACCACATTGAAATATAAATAATTTTTATGAAAATGTTTTTCATGAGTGTTTCGAATTTCGGTGAATATTCAGGCTCTTTGCACAAATCATACACGTCAGATTATTAGACAAGTCATATGTCACACAAGTCATCAATGATGACGGCGTGGTCACACATACAAACGTGTACTGTACAAGAATGACAGATCGTGACAAGAATGACGTTCGACGATGTCTTGTCGTGTTTTAAATATATTTTTCTATCCCTTTTCATTCCTGCTGGAGAATGTACAACCAATAAAGCTTTTATATAATTTATTTTAAACGTCAATCTTTAAAACCTTAAGTATTTTTCACGATTAGTCATAAAAGGTGATGATGGTTTTGTTACAAAAAAGATTCAATCTTATCTCATATATTGAAATGCGTCGGCAAACAATGTACTTTTCTTTGTCAAAAACCAAGATTACAACAACAGCAAAAATTATACACTCTTATCTCATTCAAATTGAGGCGAAACGAGACGTCACAAATATTTGGGAAATCCTAATAATCTAAGAAGAAGAAAAAAAATTCTCTTACAGATTGAAGGGCGTTAATCCTATCTTTGGTCATAGCGATTGCATCTTCCTCTGGCTGTTTTTGACAACCGAACACATTCACAAGAAAAGCGCGTCCTGTCTGAGGAGGACAAATCGTCGAAAGTTAAATGCCAGAGTTTGGTGGCCGACTGGCCACAAAGATAAAGAGGACCAGCCGGAATGGTTCTTCCCCCACTAACTAATGCTTCCTACCTCCACTTCTCTCACCTGTGGCTTACCTTTATCCGCATTAAAAAAACAAACGATACCAGCCTTTTTTTCACGTTTTAACGCCAATTTATATACCGATGACTACTAATTTAACACCACTTTTCTTGTAATCTAATAAAACGTAAGCTATATGCTGTATTTTTTTATAATGATAAAATTAACAAAATGGTGGAGCATGTTTGTTGTGAGAAATGGTGCTACAATAATTCAGTTCTGAGCTATCTTTACATTATTTTTATGTAAAAAAATGCCACACACACAAAACAAACGATACCTGGTTTTTTCATGTTTTAACACCAATTTATATACTTATGACTACTAATTTAACACCTCTTTTCTTGTATTCCAGTAAAACGTCAGCTATATGCTTTTTTTAATTATAAAATTAACAAAATGGTGGAGTATGTTTGTTGTGAGAAATGGTTCTACAATAATGTTAGTTCTGAGCTATCTTTACATTATATTTTTGTAAAAAAAATGCTACACAAAAAAACCAGCAACGATACCAACTTTTTTTCACGTTTCAAAGCCAATTTATATACTAATGACTACTAATTTAACACCACTTTTCTTTAACTACAGTAAAACGTAAACTATGTGTTTTTTTTTGTTTTTTTTTAATGATAAAATTAACAAAATGGTGGAGCATGTTTGTTTTGAGAAATGGTGCTACAATAATTCAGTTCTGACCTATCTTTACATTATTTTTATGTAAAACAATGCCACACACACACACACAAAAGACAAAAAAAAATAATACCAACTTTTTTTTTCCAGTTTTAAAGCCAATTTATATACTGATGACTACTAATTTAACACCACTTTTTTTTTTAAATTACAGTAAAACGTAAGCTATATGCTGTTTTTTTTTAATGATAAAATTAACAAAATGGTGGAGCATGTTTGTTGTGAGAAATGGTTCTACAATAATGTTAGTTGTGAGCTATCTTTACATTATTTTTATGTAAAAAATTCCACTCAAATTAAAGAATGGGTAAATAACTGCTGTTAATTTTATAACTGCTCTTTTCATTAAATTGGATTTAGTTGAAATTGTTCAAATCTGCACCCAGGGCTTTTTAAAACAGTATTTACAGTTAAATAAAACTGTCTGAAATTTTTAAATTTAAGATTTACCAAACACAATATTACTTTTCTAAATAACTGCATATCAATTTATTTTTAGAATAGATGCTCGGTGTTGGTCTGCGAGTCTGAACTAGCATTGGCCACTTATTGGTCCCTCTTCACTCGTTTTATTGAACTACTCAAACACGCAAATGAAGATAGATCCAGTTAGTGACCCTATGCTGACCCATGAATTTATTTTTAATAAAAGTAAACCAAAATGTTAACCCAATACACATAAAAATTATGCAACAATGCTTCCTACCATAACTTCTACTGGGGATTTTAGCCACACTTCCAGCTTGTCTTACATGTTAATATAAATAAAGTATTTTAAATTACTGGCACCTATTAAGTTTGTAACAACTTATTTTTTCAATTGGCCTCTAGTAAACATGACGTGTCTGGCATGGAGAGAAAGGTTGTTCCACCTAATTGGAGGGTACAATTCCTTGGTTCCATATAGAGAGCACGTAGGACACCTGATATGAGAATTGTGCTTCAGCATGTTATACTTTTAATATAAGGTCTTGGTTGAGATGAAAAACCAAGTGTCATGTGTGGGATTCAAACCCATTACCTTTGGCTAAATACGCCACTGCTCTTGATCTATTGAGACTTCGATCCACTCACACACCAACTCCTCACCAGCCAAAGGTCATGGGTTCGAATCCCACTCATCACCTTGCTTTTTCACCTCAACCAAGACTTTATATTAAAAATATAATTAATTAAAATAATTAAACAAAATTTTACACAATAATTCTTTAATGTTACATTTTAACCTTGCTTATTTTAATTAATTACCAATTAATTTTAAATATAGTTTGTATGAAAACAAAATATTTAACCTCATGATGGTATGATATTTGTTGAACGCATGGCAAAATTATAATTAGTAGATTATTAAACCTCCTTGTTGATGTTAATTTTGATTATCTTTTGTAAATTATAATATGTAAAAAATATAAAAAATAGTATATACATTAACTAAAAGTCACATTTATTTGCAAATATGTGCAAATTTAGGTAATAGCTTAAATTTCTTTTCTGAATAATATTTCTTGCTGGCAAACTATTTCATACATTTTCCTTTCGCTTGGTAACGATTTATTTTTAATGAACGTAAATCGAGTTTTCCACCTCACAACAGTTGTATAAACCAGAGGTCACAATCTTTTGGAAATTAATTTGTTCCATGAAGTCGAACAGAGGTATTTATGTAAATATTATGAAGTATTTATGTAATCTAGAATATACATTTTTTTCTTCCTTCTTAAACAGTCACATGCATTAATTCATAGAATGGTGTTTTTGTTTATGTCCACTATTATCGTTAAATATGATGGAAATTTTATCAAAAACCTTAGACTATTTCAGCAACAATAAAAATAAAATTATTAAGATGGTCTGCCCCTGGGCACCAACATTCTTGAAATTCCCACATGGTCTTCTAAGTGGTATTCTAATTTTAGAGCATGTTCAGTTAGAATTGGAATATTTTACAATTCTGATAGAAAATCACAATCTCAAAATTTGATCAACAGGTTTTTTTAAAGTATACTTAGATTGCAAATTGCCTACTGTGAACCCATAAAACATAAAATATAAATTGCATTCATATAAAATCTAATTTTTTGCATTTATTGGCCAAGTCTATTTTTGCTTTAATTATCCTTTTAACGTGAGGTCTTATTTCAGATGAGCAAAAGCAAGTGTTACAAGCAGGATTTGTACCCATGACCTTCAGCTCAATATGACTCAATACCTGTAACCACTTGAGGTGTTGTGATTTCGATCTATTCGCACACCAACTCCTCACCTAGCCAAAGGTCATGGGTTCGAATCCCGCTTGTGACACTAGCTTTTTCATCACAACTTACAATCTTTTGAATTTTCCCTCTTTTTGCCATATTTTCTCTTTTTTACTATAGGTTTGTTGTCTAAAAAAAACTGGAACATTCTTTTTTAGATATTTTAGATTTTATAGAAGAGATTTTTTCTATATAATGGGCTGAAATTATATCTTCTTATATTGGATTATTTTGCTTTATACATGAAACTATCTACCTACAAGATGCGAGGACCTAACGCAAACTCAACCTGGCACCGATATCACATGCACTAAGAACAACCTGAGAGAAACTCCAAAAAGAATGAGATTAAATGTGGCAGAAAACTGACAATGGAAGTCACACCAAAACATTTTACCCAGTGTCTATGAACAGAGATCAAACACTCATATAAAACCAAACAGATCTTCTCTGGTCACGGATAAAATAAAGAAAACCTAAAAAGATTGAAGATCATCGATGTTGATCCTTGCGGATGCACATCGGGTGGAGCCCAAAATTGGGAACACATTATCTTCAACTGTATCAAGTTGACAAGGAATGATAGATCCGATTTGATGCAATTACGAGGCAATGCCCATCAACTTTTTTAGAAATAATTAATAAATTTAAAGAAGAGTTTTTTTCATTCATTGAAAACCTTAACTTTTATTTAATTTTATTATAGAAGATATAATAATATTAATTCAAGCCATCTACTTGCAATTCTAATAATATTATATTTGAAAATGTACATAAATATTTATATCTAATGATTGTAAAACATATGTCACATGGAGCATGTGGTTAATTTTTTTTATTTTGTATTTATTTATTTTTTTTTTTTTACGGGGTTCGCAACAGCAGAGGTCATATAAACCCTCAGGGTGCCAGTGTTTTTGAAAAAAAGCCCATTTGTATGTCGGGTTCGAATGCAGGGCCACTGGATTCGAACCCGGGACCTTTACCGGTCCTGTTACCTTACACTGATGAGCACCAAGTCAACCGTTGCAGCCACCGACGCCCCCCCCCCCCTATTGGCACTTATTGAATATATAGTATATTTTATTGAAATTTATTGACTTCTATATTATACTTCTAAAATATTAAAAACAGTGTTTTTTAAAATAAAATTTAATCTTTGTACTTACTGCCAAAGAGGGAAAGAATTATGCTTCGTGGACTGTTCAAGTGCTGATTGAGAAATGTAGGATGGAATTAAAGCTAAATATAATTAAGGAATGTGTAATTTATTAACAAAAAATAAATTTATAAAATTAAATTAGGACAAAAGTTCACAAAGTTAAATGAAAATCCTTTTCAGCGATTATAAAATACAGTATGACTGGGTTCCTTTATGTTACAAATGAAAGAAATAAAGCTTTTTTTTTTCTTAAGTTATGATGACTAAATGAATGGCCACAGTAAAAAGGATAAACAAAATAATAGTGGTAATTTTTTTATTAACTTAGAAAATATATTAACTTGTTACCCTTTGACTAGACAATTGGATGAAAAATAAATATATTTACAACTAAGATAAATTGTTTGAATAGAAGACAAATGCTCCTAAAGGAAGGCTCCATTTGCTAGCGCGTAGTTCAATAAGTTGTAGCAAGGTTTTACGGATGGATTCGGTCGTACTTTGACTGAGGAAAGCATCCCTCACGCTATTCATCAGTCCATCTAGCAGTTTGGAGTCCTCCATTTCAAGATCTCGTCCTATGGTCGTCACAGTAAAAAAAAGACACTCGATCTAAAAATTAAAATTGATTAAAAATACGAGAAAATTTATTATTTCATATTGTAAAAATGCTTACTTCAGCTGATTGCATCTTTTTCTGCTGAAGAATGTTCTGGCATACTTGGACGATCATATGAAGGACAATGTGCGATGGAGATTCCAAGGATAAACCCTCCTTCTCATTAATCACTTTAGGTTTTATCTAAAAGAAAAGATCATTTAAACTAATTGATTACATAATTGACTGATTGGTCATAAAATTCACCAGTGAATACAGTTCGTTGAGAAATGCCATAAAAGCGTGATACCGTGGTGTACAATCAACCATACACTTGGTCTGGAGGGTATATCGGCAACAGTTTAAGAGTCCTTCTAAAAACGCACCTGAAGGATCTCGCTGAAAAGAACATTAAAAGGGTTAGGCTCTGGAAACAGTGGACAGCGTAAAAATTGACGTTGAAAACTTTACCTCTATAAGAGAAATGCACAACGAGGCCCAAGATTGGGCATGTGACCTTACTCGCAATGCTTTCCCAATGATCATTTTTGGTAATGTGTCAATTTGTTCAAGACAGCCTATTGTTTTAAAATCTAAAAAATTAAAAATATAATATAAAAAAATCCCTTTTATTTTATAATATTAAAACACATCTTAAGCCTACTAAAATATTAAAAATAAACACAAAATTCTTCATGTTTGATATTTTATATCATCTATACTTAACTTTACTAACAAACTAGTTAAAAAATATAATAGTAAGCCAGTTTTTATGTTCACACTGCTTGAAGTTGATTTTTATAAACCATGAAATTATCAAATTCATTTATTATTATTCATCTATCAATCAATTATTATTATTATTATATACATTTGCACTAAACCAATTAAAATAAAATAATAGAGGAAAATAGTGAAGTTACCTGCTAAAGCTTTCATAATCAGCATCTTTTCATTTTTATCTTCAAAAAGTTCAACTTGCGCTGGGATGGCTCCCATGGCCTGATGAGCATTACTAGTGCTTTTTGATTTTTGTAAATTTTTTGCTGTCATCTCATGTAGATCCGATCCCTTATGGTTGCGAGAAGTCGTAAACTGTAATAAAATGAATAATTATATAAAAAATTAAAAACAAAAAGCATGCTTGTTTTGCATTTATCTGATTCCATAATACAATACAATTATTGTTGTTACAAACCTGAACTTTTTCTACCGACATGTGTTTATGCTTTCCTTCTAAATGGTTCACTGTTCCAGTACTCCTGAAACAAAATAATTATTTTACAAATTATTATTGTTTTATTATTAAAAAAATCGGCTGCAGACTAATCATGACTGTACAGGGTGTCAGGCTGTTCGTAACAAACTTTGTCAGTGAATTTCACATAAGAGTTACAAAAAAGTTAATTTGAACCTTGCTCCAATTCTCAAGTCTTTTGCTGATATTCAATATTTTATGTTTGTTATCATAATATAAGAAACATATCTTCGTCCCCTATCCCTTCATATTTACGTTTTTAGCATAAATCTATTATATTAATTTTTGAGGATAAAAAAAAAGAACAAAAAGAGCATTAAATTCCTTTAAGAAGACACCGTTCTGAAACTTTCAAATTAATTTTTGGTAAAAAACAAACACTAAATCTTTTAAAACTGACTAAATTTAAAAGTCGTAAACAAAACTAAATTCCCAACAACATTGGAAAACTTCACGGTAGAACTTGGCAAATTTTGTAATAAATTTTTTGTTTAATAAGCTTTCATTTATTTATATTGAACCAAAATGCATAAATTTTATGGTAATTGGGAAAAAAGTTGGGATAGTATGAAAAAGGGGATTAGTATTAATCTAGTAACTATATACTCAAAGGGGGGAAAAGTCTAATATTTTGTTGTTAATTTCAAACAAAATGTGTTTTTATTTTTATAATACTTACAACATACTCACTTTAATGTAAACCAAATTAAATGAGATCAGACATTCATGTTTTAATAAAAAGTATTTAACTATAACGGTTTAAAAGAAAATTCACCAAAACACAGGAAAATCATTTAATGATAGATTAAAATTTAACTAATAATTTACTCTATCACTAAATGGTGTTTTGGTATTTTTTTTTTAAAGCATCATAGTTAAACATTTTTTATTAAACAGGAATTTCTGATCTCGTTTAATTAGGTTTACATTAAACTTAAACATGGTTAACATTAAGTTTGAAATAAACAACAAAATACGAGTCTCCCCCCATTTGCGTATACAGATTTACCAAATTGGGTTAATTCCATAGCTTTTTTTTGGCTTGAACCAGAAATTTTTTAAAATTGATTTATTATTTTTTATATAAAGTATGGCTGAGTTGAAAATTAGTATCACAATCCCACGACATCCGGATGGGTTTGTATACTGCTTGTGACACTATTTGTCAACTTATGAACACACTGGATCGAGGTATGGTTTTGAAGAAGAAAGCAAATTTAGTTGCTACAGCCAAGCTTTTGACCTATCAGAGCAAAATAACCTTAAATATGCCTACAGATGTTTGACAGTTAGTTTGTATAGTTTGTACAGGTGGTCTCAAATTTCCGCAAACACCGATTCAGTTACTTTGCTTAAAAATAATAAATGTATTACTTCGGTTAATAAGAGGATATATATAATGCTCAAACCTAGAAAATGTCAACTTTTTTCAAAGAGTGAATTTTATTAGTAAAGTTAAGTCAAGTTTTACTAAAATCTGTTATAAAATTAAGACAAAATGGTTCTATTTTCTATTAATTGTGAGTAATATATTAATAACTGACAATAATTAATTGTGAAACCAAACCACGATTAATGTAAATGTATGATAAGTTTAGATAGTTCGATAGTTTTACAATCTGTTCTGGACATTTTAATCTAAAGGTTTTGTGCTTATAATAATATATGAAATGAGAGGTAATGTTCATTATTTGAAAATTATTTTTAAACGTAAAATAAATGGAATGAATATTATTTAAAAGAAAATACCTTACACGTTGAGGAAACATGTTGAAATCAGCTTTTAAATTAAATCACGTGACGATTTGAATGAATTTGAAACAACAGATTTCCACCCGTCATAATTTTAAAATGAAAGAGGTCTATTTTTATAAGCGGGGCTGCCCTGTTAAACCGATAGTCAAACTTTAAACAGGGCCCATTTTCTCGTCATGAAATAAATAATGCGTTTATGAAAGTTTAATAGCGTTACACTTTGTTCGAAGGTCGTTATAATCTATATAAATATTTGCCAAATATGCATCATAAAGGAGGACAAAGAGATATTTTATCTCAGAAAGTATTGTAAAAATATGCAAACAAATATGACAAATTATGCAAATCGGCGTTCTGTGCAATTGTCTTACAGTCAAACGACATTTGACAAGGAAAAAAAAATTGTACCAAGTTAAACTTACGGTCGTAATAATTAAGATTTCTGATTAAAATACTTACTTTGAGCTTTGCAATGGGCTGAATTCTTTAGCGTGTACGTTCAGTTTGGTCGAAGAAGAAATCCCGGACTGAGCTGAGCTCCTTTGGTCTGTAAACGTAAACAGAATTTTGATTTACAAAATACACCAATAAATAAACAACTCCAACGAGTCAAAAATGAAGAAAATCCACAGAAAGTAAACAATAAACGCACGTCTAGACGACTCAGCATAATAAACGAAAATTCACAAAGGCGAATTGCAATTTGATCGCGAGGTGACAAATTTGATCGAAGTTTGTTTTGCACAAGAAATGCGATCATACCTTCGAAAAAGAGCCTACCACATGAAAACCGAATATGTTAGTACATGCCGTCACGTTTGCCCAATTAAAGTTGAAAATGTTGGTGACATTGCCAATGAGTTCAACTTCTGGAAAATCAAATTTTCTAAAGATAAATCGTAATTTTAGCGCAAATTTTTAGGATTTCCTTGATTAAAATAGTAAACGATCATTTACCTTTAAAAAATTGACTTAATACAAATCAAATTTACTTGATTTTCCTTGATGATTAAAACATTGAGATATTGAAAAAATGTTATATCGCTTATCGAACGATGAATAATAAAAGAACAAAGTGTAATCGTTGTGAAACTGGATTAGAGCTAAACTGGATTAGACAAGGTACATTTTCTAATTTAAAACATAAATAAATAAACATTTTTTGAAATAGAAATTGACTTTGGAATACTATTGCACAATGATCATTTTTAAGACCATTCTGCATAGTCGCACCTTAATAGATCAAAGGTCAAAATCATCATAAAGTTGAAATGTCTGAATTTGACACATTGGGGGGCACAGCCATTTCTTCTTTATACCCAACGGCCGCACATCCTACTTTCTTTGAACTTCTAATCGCCTTCCGTCCGTGCAGATACATATCCGTATCCGGAAACTGCATACCTTCACATGCTGGTTGTCAACGTCTACGGAGTAAGTCCAACGTTCGGCAAATTCATATCTGGTTCAGTTCGTTCAGTTCCTTGAGCTTATTGGGATGATCCCAGCCAGGACAACTGCCGCGTGATAAGAGATAGTTCGATGATAGTTCCTTTGCGTGTGTGTGTGGGGCCCGTGCGTGCGAGGGTGTGGTGTGATTAAGTGATTGTGTGTGTAAAAACAAAGAATAGTGGATTCGTGACGGTGAATGAGTAAGTTTGATTGTGGGCTACAGAGGGGAGTTAGAGTGTATGAGTGGGAAGAATGTGAACAACTGAAAGTGTGAGTGAATAATTGGGAGTGTTAGTGTGTAAGAGCGAAAGACAGTGAGTGTGTGACCATGATCGATTAAGAGTTTTGAGTGAGTAGATGAGCGAAAGAACAAGTGTGTGAAAGAGTGAAATAGTACCTAACAGTGACAGTGAAAAAGTGAGATAGATAGAAAGAGAGAGAGAGAGAGAGAGGAAGAGAGGGGGAGAAAGAGAGAAAGGGGGAGAGATAGAGAGAAAGAGAGAGAGAGGAAGTGAGAGAGAGAGGAAGAGAGAGGGAGAGGGAGAGGGAGAGGGAGAGAGAGAGAGAGAGAGAGGGAGAGAGAGAGAGAATGAGAGAGAGAGAGAGAGAAAGAGAGAGAGAGAGAGAGAGAGAGTGAGAAAGAGAGAGAGAGAGGGTGAGAAATAGAGAGGGTGAGAAATAGAGAGAGGGGGAGAAAGAGAGAAAGGGGGAGAGAGAGAGAGAGTGGGTGAGGGAGAGAAATAGAGAGGGGGAGAAAGGGAGAGAGAGAGGGAGTGAAATAGAGAGAGGGGAGAAAGAGAGAAAGGGGTGAGAGATAGAGGGAGAGAAATAGAGAGAGAGGGGGAGAGAGAGAGGGGGTGAGGGAGAGAAAGAGAGAGCGTGAGAGAGAGCTAGTTAGAGAAGAGTATGAGCGGAAAGAGTAAATATATGTGAGTAAATTAGCGTGAGTTAGTAAATGAGTGAGAATGTATGTAAGAGAAAAGGAGAGTTGAGTGCGTGAATGCTAATGAAGACGAGAGATAAAACAGTGCGTGAGAGTGTGAATGAACGAGCGAGAATGAGTGAGTGACAAAATCCTATTGAATATCACATACACATGCATATAATATATGAATAGTGTTAGAAAGAACGAAAGACTGTGCTTGCAAGTTAGTGGGCTTGAGTAATCAAGCGAATATGAGTGAACTGGTGAGTGATAGTGTGAATGGGCAAGAGTTCGAGTAAGGGGGTGTGAGCGAGAGTGACAGATCGATACAACAAATTCGAAGATGGTCCAAGATAACTTATCACACTCCACTTGGACCTTCTTGATTTCCAAAGATTAATTAAATAGCAAAATAAACAAGTAATCACCTTAGGGGTTGTGCTACAGCTTGGTTTTCCATTGTTATGCATTATGTATAAAAGTTTCGGATTTATTTGGTAGAAAGTTCATCTACTTGGATGTTGATATTCGGCCAGTTGGTCTACGGATCGGGAAGGACCGACCTTTCCCTTTCGACTGTAATCTCCTGACTCTCGAGTCGAAATCAGGGATCGCTCTCGTAACTTTCGAGTATCCCAAAACAAGAAAGTCGACTCTGCTTTCTTCTCCCTCCCGAGGTACCGAAAGACCAAGAAAGGTACAAGACCTCCTGAATAATTGGGCAAATCATCATTAACTAGTGAGCCGTGTGAATTCTCACGTGGATCGTCGATCGGAGATCGTATATCTCGGAGCCAAAAATGAAAACGAAATTGTTTCGTTTTCACTTTTTTTAGTTACTTAAGTTTGAATAAGTCCTATCGGTAGGATTAAATTTTTCAGTTTGTACAGTTTCAGCAATAGACACTGAAGAAATCGTACAAACTAATTAACTCTGATCTTCGTGTACTTTTTTTTCATACAAGTTCCAAATAGTATGAAAGAACAAATGAAATTGAGAAAAATGAGAGAATGGTATGGAATGGAAAAATGGTAATGGAAAATGGAATACAGAAAGAATGGTAAAACTTACTGGGAGGTTTGTAGAGTTCTATCGCTGGAGCCCGTTTGGAGTTGATGGAAATTCGCTTTGAAGCAGGATTTTTCCCCTAGAACAAAGTATAAGATTTTTTAAATTATGAATTTTGGATAGTTTACTACACCCCTAAATAATAAATAAAAAATTATTTATATAATTATTCATTTTAAAACTTTTTTCATTTCTTCCTTTAAACAAATCAAGATTACCAATTTTCAAACATTTTATTGTCGTTATCATTTTATAGAATGTTGAACCAGAGGTCGTATTATGTAATAAAAACCTGAGTTATATAAAATCGATAATCAATTATGAAAATTCCTTCAGTGGTTCTTTTAATAAAATTCAAATTTATACTGACGTGTTGACTCTGACGATGTCTCACAGGAAACTCCATTTCGGTGTAGCTTCGCCTTAACTCTCGGCCTTCCATTCTGCTAACAAATCAAACAGAATTAGCAATGACAGATCACAATTTTGACAAAGAATGACAAAAATGTATCCCTAACAAAACTGTGCGACATTCGCGAATAAGCTAGATTGATATAAAAAAAAAATGCTTGCGTGCGCTTGTATGTGAATCTAAGAGAAGCATGCAAGAATGTGAAAAAAATTGTGAGTTCGTTGGTCCATATGCGTGTGTATTTTGTTTTGTGTGATTTTTATGAAGGAACTGTTTACTTACCACAGCACCTTATATATTACATGCATTATGGGAAATAAACATATGTTTGTCTGTCCCTCTTTCTATGTCTTTCTCACCCTTTTTTATTGTGTTTTTGTCTGTTTCTCTTTCTGTCTCTCTCACACTTTTTCTTTTTCTCTCTGTTCGACTTCTCACGCTCTTTCTGCTTCCTTCTTTCTCGACCTCTTCTCTATTTCTGTCTCTCCCTTCTCTGCCTCTCTATCTTTCTTCCCTCCTTTCTCTACTTTCTATGTCTCACGCACACACACACACACACACACACACACACACACACACACACACGCTCTCTCTCTCTCTCTCTCTTTCTCTCTCTCTCTTTCTCTTTCGCTCTTTTTTCTGCCTCTCACTCACTCTCTTTCTGTTTTCTTCTTTACATGCCTCTTCTCTATTTTCGTCTCTCCGCTCTCTCTCATTCTATGTCTTCCCTTCTTATTCAAACTAACACAACTCTCACTCTCTCATTGTCTATCTCTTTGTGGCTCTCACTCTCTGTCTCTACTGTTTTTCACAAGCAAGCTAAATTCTCTATTTATTGTCTCTCTTTCTACTTTTCTCTCTTTCTTACCTTATCACTCTCTGTGTCTCTCCTTTGTTCCTCGCTCTTATGCACACACACTCTCTCTCCCTCTCTTGCTTACTTTCTATCTTTCTCTCTCTCAATCTATTTATCTATCTGTAATATTGTTATTCAAATTATTTACATTAGGCCCTTGGTCGATATTGCAAGTGTTTATATTAGAATTCTTATAATTTTTAATTGAGCATTTTATATTATTCCATGTTTAGTGGTCATAATTGACGTATTAATTGTTCCAATTAATTATTCTTTTTATTTAAAGTTGTTAGTTGAGATGAAAAATTAGTGTTACGAGTGGGATTCAAACCCACGATCTTCGGCTCAATACGTCGCTTCTCTAACACTTGTCACGATAGCTCAAGTTGTTGAGCCGAAGGTTGTGGGTTCGAATCCCGGTCGAGACACTATTTTTTTATCTCAACCAAAAACCTTAGATAAAAAGTAAAATTAATTTTATATTATAATTTGATAAACCTTATTTTTTTAGTTATGATTTATGAAGAATTTTTAGTATTTTATTGGAATGGCACACGTAACATTAGAAAGGAGAAATACGGCATAGTTTGTCCACCCAGTGAAATGTCGTAACAATTATGTTGTTGTTTGTATTGTCGAAAGTGTAATTATACATTCCAATCGCACGTTGGATTCCATACGTGCGTCGCTCCCCTCCAAAGCAGGATGCATTCATTGCATTTGAGAAATAAACATACCAAGGTGTGAAGGATGGAAAAACACGGTCGATCCCTTGCAAAAATGACGCTTTCCATGTTAGAAAAGGGAAAACGAACAATAACTCTTAGCGATAACAACTGCAATTATCCATTAACAATTGGTCAATTTGATATAATTGGCCTATCCTTGATGAATGGTATTTTATCTGAACCAGACAACACGGATATTTAACGCATCTTGCAAGTTTAGCCGATTCGATAAAAAAACGGCGTTGTCACCGTTCCAAGGTGTTCCGTGTTTTCCCAATGACTGCGATCCAGGGTAAAATTTAATTTTCACTACTGAAAACTGTGGCAGCTCTGGGTTTCCAATGTCAACTCGACGACCATACAATCCCACCAGACCAGTTCAGCCTCCGCACGCTAATTTGCCGGCCTACGCGGCACAGTTTCCACTCGGCGAAGAGAAAAGGGACCTCATTTAAAGATTTCACGTTAGTAATACGCGAAATGATGGAAAACGGTTTCTTTTTTGTCCACATGGAAGAAAATTTACTTTAACCATTATTAAAAAAAAAAAAAAATCAAACCTTACTTTAAATACCAAAATTTTTCTTCTTTATCTAGCGGTGGTCGCAACGGTAAAGGCAATGACACAGTGCTCATTACCGTAAGGTCCCCCGACATACTTACAAATGAGCTTTTTAAAAAAAACACACCGATACCCCGAGGGTTGATATTCTGATGTTGTGAACTCCCGTAAAAAAATAATAATAATGAAAATCATGTCATGTTTTCCATTTCCAATTTGTCACAATTTTCGTTTATTTATGCTTCATTATACACATATTTAAAAAAATAAAAGTACACAACTGCTAATAGCCTAAGCCTAATATATTAGGACTAACATGACATTTCAGCCAACTAGGCCTTGCCAAATAGCTGAGCTAAAGTGGACTTAATTATTAAAATAATTTGAATAAACACTGATTGATTTTATGCTGGCTTTTTAATGATAAATAATAAAATTAAGTCTAATTATCGTATGGGATTATTTTTCATTTATTAATTTTGAAATTTTGATGCCGTTTATAAGAAAATCGAAATTTTGAAGTTGGGAAAAATTTGAATATATAAAATAAACAAGAAAGATTTTTTTCAGTGGAGAACAATTGATTTATCTGGCGTCCTTTGTAGGGAATAACTGAGTTTCTATTGAAAATTTGATAATATTTTTGATACGATTTTTTTGAAGTCCGGAAAAATTTAAGTTTGTAAAATAAACGACTATAAATCGAAAACGAATTTTTAATCTATTCTCAATGGAGAACAATTGAATTTATCTTGAGTCCTTTTTTTAGGGAGCAACTGAGTTTTTATTGAAAATTTGGTGCTGTTTATGATAAGATTTGTGGAAAAAATGAGATTTTTGAAATCCGGCAAAAATTAAATTTTGTAAAATAAACGACTTTAAATCAAAAACTAAATTTTAAACTATTCTCAATGGAGAACAATGATTCGATGACCATATAATTCTCTACTGTAAATGTTCCAACTTATTTAGAAACAAATCTTTGCAGAATTACAAATTCCTGAAAACTTATTTGATAGTTTTAAATTAGAAAAAATTCTAAAATCGGAAAATGATCTAATCTATTGAAAACGTATTACTTCTTAAATATAGCAGAAGATATTTGAGGAAAGGAGGTTAGAAAATTTATTATTTGTTAAATACAAAATATAATTGAAATTTTTAGATTTAAAAAACTAGGAAGAAATAACAACATTAATTTTTCATTCTAATTCAACTTTAATTTATGTTGTTAGATTATTCTCTACAAATTTTGTCTGTGAAATTGTTTTTTATATAATTTTATAAATTGTAATGAAGTATTATTCTCTCTTCTCTCTCTCACTCCCTCTCTAACTCCCTCACTCTCTCCTTCTCCCACTCTCTCCCTCTCCCACTCTCACCCACTCACACTCACTCGCTCTCTCTCCCTCTCTTACTCACTCACCCTCAACCTCTCTCACTCCCTCACTCACTCTCTCTCACACTCCCTCCTCTCTCACTGCCTCATTCACTCTCCCACACTCTCTCTCACTCTCTCTCTCTCTTTCTCTTTATATCTCAATGGAGAACAATTGAATTTATCTTGTGTCCTCTTTTAAGGTTAATAACTCAGTTTTTATTGATAATTTGAAGCTATTTATGACACAATTTGTGCAAAANACAATGTTTGTAAATCCCAGGCCCTGAAGATGATCTCAATAAAAGATCGAAACGTTGGCACGATAAAGAAAATGTTTTTCTGAAACCTACATCACACCCGATCGCATCTCACGATATCTGAATAACTAAGTATACGTTGATAATATACCAATTCATTACATAAAGATTAATTAATTGAAAGAAGTTATTTGGTCAATCGGACCACGAATATAGTAATAATATATTATCAACGTATTATCAAGGTATTGTTTGAAATGAAAAAGTTAGTGTCACGAGCGGGATTTGAGCCCATGACCTTCGGCTAAATACGCCGCTGCTCTTCCTTCCACTTGAGCTATCGTGACACTAAAATTTGAAAAATGGCAGAAAGGAGGGAAAATTCGAAAGGTAGGTTGATATGGGAAGTTGGTGTCCGAATGGATCGAAGTCGCGATATCTCAAGTGGTAGAGCAGCGGCGGATTTAGCCGAAGGTCGTGGGTTCGAATCCCACTCGTGACACTAACTTTTTCATTTAACCAAGACCTTACATACAGATTAATTAATTGAAAGAAGTTATATATATTCGAAAAATTTGTTGTTGTTTCTACATTATGACATGTACATTGTTCAATAAAAAAATGTTAATATTAATCATTCTATGTTAAATCCTGAACATTGAAGCCGGACGGGGCGAATTTCATTCACTTCTCGAATGGCTTTTAGACCAAGGACGGAGTGATTCTGCTAGACCGTAAACCTTTGGTTACGAACGTTGCAACCGTACATCGCCGCTACAACACAATTTACTATATTGAAATTTTATTTCGTCTATTTTTTATTAAATGGAAGAAAGACATTGAAGAGAAAATTACAGTCAGTTAAATTGCGTGTTAAAAATTCTCAGAGAGCGAAGTGTACAGGCAGCCGTTATTTGTGACTGTTTATCACTTCTGTCACGTATGATTCAATGCAAAGAAAATTAGCATAATTAAAGGAATGAATTCAAAGCACGGTGGCATTTAAGAAAGTCCTCTGTTCTGAAACTGGGCTTCGATAATAGTCCTATTTCTTCCGAGCCGAATTCTCCGGCGGATCCTATTTTTATATTATCAGAGTGTGAGCTGACTTAATTGATCAACAATCATCAATTTTATGCTAATGAAAAAATAAATAATAATTCGGGGAGTCATAAAGCCTATTTAAAGTTTCAGGATAGAAATCACTTCCTAAATTTTACTCATAAACATTGACTCATTCCCAATACAGAAAGTACTATAAAATTTTAATTAAGACATTTTAATTAGACAGTTTTTATTTTTTTCTTCATAGTTAAAATGTATAATCCGGCATAAAGAGTTCACTTCAAAGATATTTCAATTTTTTTTAACAATACACGGTCGCATAAATTTGCTTTTAAGTGCAACTTCACAACCTTCACTGATTTTTGCCTTATCTCATACTCTGCAGCATTGCATAATTGTGTTTTTTTTGTAAAAATTATTTTTGTTTTGTTCTTCTACAATATTAATCAAAGCACACTTAGCACGAGATGAGCAAAGAGGAAAGGAGCCAGTTTTGTAAGTACCATTTGCCATCAATCAGAAATATTTACTCGCAACGACGAAGGACAAAGTGTACGTACAATTTGAAAAGTAGTTTCGTGTGACACTGATAGGAATGGAATCACGCATAATTAGTTATGAGGTCAGTGGCATCCCAGCTTAGAAATAGAGGAAGTCGACGTTCACGTCATTCTAGGACTCCAGTTACAATAATTGCAGCTCTTTTCGAGATTTTTTTTTTTGTATATATTATTAATAACCGTTTGAACATTAGACTCTACAATTACTTTTTATTACTGTACTAAGATTTTTTCATAAACGCTCAGACGAAACGAACATAGAGTACACTAATTATTCGGAAATCGTGAGATGCGGTCTGGCGTGATGTAGGCTTCAGAAAAACATTTTCTTTATCGTGCTAACGTTTCGATCTTTATTGAGATCATCTTCAGGGCCTGGGATTTACAAACATTGTTTACATTTAACAAATACATATAGGATGTGGAAAAAAGCGAATTTATACAATGCAAACAAAATATTTTTTATTACAATTAATTAAGGTTTTTAGTTGAGATAAAAAAGTCAATGACACGAGCGGGATTCGAACCCACGATCTTCGGCTTGATACGCCGCTGCTCTACCACTTGAGCTATCGTGACCTCGATCCACTCGGACACCAATTTCCCATCTCAACCGCACCTTTTGAATTTTCTATGACTTTTTTATCTCAACTAAAAACCTTAATTAATTGTAAACTATTAATTGGTCAAGCGGACCACGAAATTAGTGAATTTAATATTTTTTATATTCAATCAAAGTATTTGTACTCATTACTAAATACTTTGATTGAATATAAAAAAATATTTTGTTTGCATTGTATAAAGTCTCTTTTTTCCACATCCTATATATATTTGTTAAATTTAAACAATATTTGTAAACCCAGGACCTGAAGATGATCTCAATAAAGATCGAAACGTTGGCACGATAAAGAAAATGTTTTTCTGAAACCTACGTCACACCAGACCGCATCTCACGATTTCCGAATAATCATAGACTAACAGTCACTAATCACCACACATAGAGTGCACTAAAAATATGGTAATTTTGTTTCCTTCTCACTTTTCATGTACAAATTTTGCCATCAATTGTATTTTTGTTTTAAACAATTAACTATCATATGAATGTTTTTTTTATCAATACCATTGATGACAATATCATCAGATGAATCTATATAAATCGTTATTGAAACTAATAATGATTGGAAAACAAAAACTTTTTTAAGTATTCTGTTTTGGCAGAAAGCGTGTCTGACAATCTTATAAATTGTAATTTAGAATCTAGGTTATCGTTTAAACATTTCACCTAAATGACTGGAAAGTACTGCTTATCTTGTTGAAAGTGGATAAATTTTTTTTTGAAAATGAAACAATTTAACATTATCGAAATGACTAAATAGTAGAAAAATGTAAAAGATTGATTATTTAATAAATCATCAACCACCGACCACATTCAACAATTATTAATTAAGGGCTGAATTATTGTTATTTTTAATGTTTTGGTTTAACTTTAAAGTCTTTTTACTTTTTACTGGCCTTTGTTATAATCGTAATTAGATCGTTTCTGATCATTTTGGTCTTCTGTTCTTCAGCGGTGGTTTGTATGTTATCAATCTAGTATTTTCTGAATGAGACAAGGTGAGCTTTAACATCAAGGATATAAGTACGGAAATGCACCAATCCGTTACAGAAGATGGCTAAAAGCCAAATTTCACATCCATCAACCTATCTCCCAAGACGTTTAAGAGGGAAATCTCGCACTTTATTATATTACATTACCGGCGTATTTTAAAATTGAAAGCAATTTTTATATTACATTATAGCGAAGGGTATGTGCGGTAAATGATTGTACGCTCACTTCTTTATAAATCTTCGACATTTTACCCCTTTTTAATTAATTACATTTGGTTGAAAAATACAGACAACGTGGGCTGTTAATTTATGATGTAAAAGTGGCAACTGTTATAGCGAATATGTTGAAACAAAGCCTTAAAAAGTTATTTATCTCCTTTAAAAACAATTCTTTAATAAATAGTAATAAATTGATTTGATTTAAAAAAATGGGTTGAAGCCCAAATATAATACAAATAAGAATTCTTGATATCTATCAATATAGGTAAATAAAAATTAAACACTTCCAAGAATTATGAGAAGAAAGTGGAATGGACACCTCACTAACATATGCCAAACGATAATAAAAACAATACAGACCATGTGGGTTGTTAATTTATTATGTAAAAGTGGCAACTGTTATAGCGAGTATGTTGAAACATAACCTTAAAAAATGATATGCTTCTTTAAAAAAAATTCTTTAATAAATAATTATAAATTGTTTAATAAATAATAATAAATTAATTTGAGTTTATAAAATGGATTCAAGCCTAAATATAATAAAAAATAATATTTTTGATATCGATCAATAAAGGGTAATAAAAATAGCCTTAAAACGTACTATGCTGCTTTAAAAAAAATCTTTAATAAATAATTATAAATTGTTTAATAAATTAATTTGAATTTAAAAAATGGATCCAAGCCCGAATATAATAAAAAATAATATTTTTGATATCGATCAGTAAAGGGTAATAAAAATAACCTTAAAAAGTAATATGCTTCTTTAAAAAAATTCTTTAATAAATAATTATAAACTGTTTAATAAATAATAATAAATTAATTTGAATTTAAAAAATGGATTCAAGCACAAATATAATAAAAAATAATAACGCTTCTTTTTAAAAAAATATTAATAAATAATTATAAATTGTTTAATAAATAATAATAAATTAATTTGAATTTAAAAAATGGATTCAAGCCCGAATATAAAAAGAATAATATTTTTGATATCGATAAATAAAGTGTAATAAAAAATAGCCTTAAAAATTAATATGCTTATTTAAAAAAATTCTTTAATAAATGATTATAAATTGTTTAGTAAATAATAATAAATTAATTTGAATTTAAAAAATGGATTCAAGCCCGAATATAAAAAGAATAATATTTTTGATATCGATCAATAAAGTGTAATAAAAAATAGCCTTAAAAATTAATATGCTTCTTTAAAAAAATTCTTTAATAAATAATTATAAATTGTTTAGCAAATAATAATAAATTAATTTGAATTTAAAAAATGGATTCAAGCCCAAATATAATAAAAATAACAATTTTGATATCGATCAATAAAGGGAAATAAAAATTAAAAACATCCGAAAATTATGGGAAGAACGTGGATGGACACTTACATGTGCCAAATGGCAATAAAAATCTATTAATTTATTTTCTCAACTAAAAGTACGTTACTAAGTACTTACTAACGGTACTAAAACTATCAATTTTAGTTAGTTGAAGTTGGTAAAGTTACAGAAATGACAACACGAGCTTGAAGGCTAAATTTCTGTTGTGGGACGATTGCAGTACTGCGAATGTCAACAAATTGAGCATTTTGTCTTTTAAGAGATACATGGTTTCACCATCGCTCGTTGCAATTTGAGACGACTGTAGAATCGGATTGCTTGCAGTTGCTTGAAGTTTACAAGGAATTAAAAACGTGTGCGGGCGTTGATGACAGAACAACGACCAAGCTACAAGTAGGAAGAGAGAGAAAGATAATTAATGATGGTTTTTTTAAAACATTTCTCCCTTTGTTTAATTGTGTGCAGGGATGGTATTTGGACGCGTTGAACGCACGTGTAGAGGATAAATTTAGTTTTCCGTCTCGGATGAAAATCTTCCGACCTACGATAAAATAACATTGGATTCGTCCACAGTCTGTGCCGGGGGTGTTATTTCGACATTCTGGATTAGTCTGTTAATAAATTTGCGGACAACTTACTTTTTTTAAATGTCAATAGTGTCGATCGATATATTTCGTTGACTTTCCTCGAGGCAAGTCTTGTTTTCGTCGGGTCGCTGTAAAAAAAGAAAAAAGAACAACTCACTTAGTGCATTTCTTATATTGCCTAATCTTTCGGTGAACTTGCGCTCGGTGAGAGACTGTAAATAGTTCCAAGACGCGTTATATTTAGACCAGTGCGTCTTTGGACGCTTTTGGCCGCGATACGTTTGACAAACCGATGATTTTTCACTTCTGAATTTTTTCATTTTCCGCCTCTGATTCGGTTATAAAGAAAATCGAGTTATATTGTTTAAAAGACGATTTTCACCTTAGTCCATGGCTCGCCTGTTATTTTCAAACGAGTTCGGAGTCGCCGGGCGTGGGCCAACTAGCCAGCGCCCCACACACTGATCGCCGCCCCGTGCCGAGGAGGGAGCGCCACACAGCCCTTCCTTCTTCTCTTATTGGTGGGGAGATTTGACTATTATTTGACTCTTCCCACTCTTTATTATTTCGATGGTATTTATTTTATGTCATATGCTTTATGCTGATGGCTATGATGTCAGAAGGAGAACACTGCTTCCTTGGGTAACAAGGATGAGACAACATTCCCTCCATACAAAATTTGCCATATAGATTTTTTGGCTACTATTAGCTGTGAGGAGCACCATGATCATGTGCAGTATGAAACTGCTTGAGTTCACTAAGAGGAGTATAATAAAATCTCTCTTGTTTATGTATCAAGGTAATAGAGACCAAACAGCAAAGTTTGTCAGGATGTCAATCAGCCCTGAATCCTTTTGTGGCATACAAAATTTCCTGAAGCGCAGTTCCATAGTAAAAATGGATCTCGATGTTAAAGGAATACACAATCATATACACTGACAGGCAAAAAATTCCGCCCACTTGTAATATAATTTGATTTGTATATATTTTTATACGTTAACCAAAGTTTTACCTTTTTTAACGTGATACGTTAAAAAAGTAAATTGTTAATTGCCATTTAGTGGTCTATTGACCAAATTACTTCTTTCAATTAATTTATCTTTTTATGTAAGGTTTTGGTAGAAATGAAAATCAAGCGCCACGAGCGGGATTCGACCCACGACCTTCGGCTAAATACGCCGCTGCTCTACCACTTGAGCTATCGTGACTTCGATCGATGTTTAATTAACATTTCAATATCGCGCATGTCCTCTTCTTGCTTTAATTACACCTCGAAGACGCCTCGGCATACTTTCTAAAAGTCGAAAAATATCTCTTTGCTGGAGGTTAGCCCATTCTTGGCAAAGTGACCTTTCAAGATCGTGGAGTGTATCAGGAAGTGATGGACGTGCTCATATTCTTTTGAGATTATTCCATAAATGTACGATGAGGTTCAAGTCTGAAGAACGGGCTGGCCAGGTTAAGACCCTGATGTTAAGCTGTTGAAGGTACGTTTGTACTATGCGAGCGACATGTGGGCGGGCATTCTCTTGCATTAGAATAGGAATGTCGCTGATTTCATCGAGGATAGGCAACGCGAGATGTTCCAAAATTTCATCCACATAGCGAGTGGCCGTCAAAGACCTTCCTTGAAAAACAACCAACCCTATGCGAGCCTGCATAGATATTCCCGCCCACGCCATCACTGAGCTACGTTGAAAAGGTTGACTCTGGGAAAAATTACAAGCTTCGTACCTTTCATTTCGCTTTCTCTACACTCTTTCACGCCCATCTAGAGATGATAGAGCAAATCTACATTCACTCATTTATAAAAAGTACAGCAGATCAATCGTTCAATGGCTGTGTTCTCGAGCAAACGCCAGCCGTGCAATCGGTGTGTTCTGGTCAATTCTGGTGGGCGAAAAGCCATCAGTTCATACTGATTTAATCTTCTTCGAGCAGTGCGTTCAGAAATTTGGACACCTCGAACTTCCTGACAGAACAGCAGATGGATTGCTTGAACAACAGTACAGTGCCGGCTTTGCGAAATTCTCAAAGCCAAAAAATGGTCATCTTGTGGTTCTGCTACCCACGGGCGTCCAGAATCGGGCCTTCTATGGTAGGACCCAATTTCTCAAAAACGTCTAAAGGCGTCTCGTACCTAGGTGAAGCAAGCGTATCTCTCCCAGAATTGAACACTCCGCCAAGAAAGGAAAATCACATTCGAGGGCATGCGATTTGTAAAACGAACAGAAGCTCTGTTCAGCTGAAAAACCTCGCTGCTCATTTTTAAAAGCCAACGCAGCTCAACCAAAGAGTAACCTTTAAAACTGGGCTTCTTCAGATTGAACAACGCTGGATGACCCCTTAACTCTTTATATAATGAAAGGTACGCCGAGCTCATGGCACGATCAGCACATTCACTGCGGTGTTGGGAAGTCAAGAGAGCCGAAAATTGGGTGCTACAGTTAGTGATATTCTCCAATGACAGAAACCAATATCATATTTTGCGAACAGTAATTTCCAGGCAGAGATCCAAGATCCTCTGATCGAACTATTTCAAGTGAGGTAATTTTTGAGACTCTCGAGTCTGCAGAACCTAGCAGGAATCGTCAGGATAAAGGAGAAGTGCAGCATGAGAGTGAACACAAACAGTAAATCGGTGGCAGTTTCTAAATAGATGGGGTAATTTGGAGTGCCACCATGTAAAGAAAACAGTTTTCTTAGGAAAAGTGGAAATGTCCCTTTGCTGGAGATTAGCACATTCTTCGAGAAGAGTCCTTTCAAGATCGTGGATTTATCAGGACGTGGTCTTATTCGTCTTTGAAGTTATCCCATAAATGTTGATGGGGTTCAAATCGGAAGAACGGGCTGGCCAGGCTGAGACCCTGACGTTATGCTGCTGAAGGTTGTACTATGCGACCGACATGTGGACGGGCATTATCGTGCACTAGAATAGGATTGTCGCTAATTTCATCGAGAACAAGCAACGCATGATGTTCCAAAATGCCATCCACATGGTGGTCATGTGGCCGTCAAAGACACTCAACAAACAACAACCAAATCTGTGCGACTCTCCATTGAAAATCCCGCCCACACCATCACTGGGTGTGCTACGTTTCAGCTACGTTGAAAAGGTTGGCTCTGTGAAAAATTGCAGGCTTCGTACCCTTCATTTCGCCTCCTCCACACCCTTTCACGCCCATCTGGAGATCGTAGAGCAAATCTACACTTATCTGTAAAAAGTACAGCCGACCAATCGTCCAACGACCAATGGCTGTGTTCTTGAGAAAATGGGAGCCGTTCTGGCCAATTCTGGTTCTATTACCGAGCCGTCAAAGACCTTCAACGAACAACAACCAACTGTTGCCTGCATAAACATTCCCACCCACACCATCACTGAGCTACGTTGAAAAGGTTGACTTTGGGAAAAATCTACACTCATTTGTAAAACGTACAGCAGATCAATCGTCCAATCGCTGTGTTCCCGAGCAAATGCGAGCCGTGCAACTCGGTGTGTTCTGGTCTTTTCTGGGGCGAAAAGCCATCAGTCCATCTGACTTCATCTTCTTCGAACAGTGCATTCAGAAATTTGGACACCTTGCACTTCCTGGAGCTGAATCGCTTGAACAGCAGTAAGGTGCCGATTTCCCAATATTGTCAAAATGAAAAAACCGTCATCCTGTGGACCTGTTATCCTAGGGCGTCCAGAACCGGGCTTTCTATGGTAGGACCCAGTTTCTCGAAAACGTCTAACGGCGTCTCGCAGAGTTTCGTAGGGAACTCCAATGGCCATAGCCGCACCTGATGAAAAGTCCATCATCAATTTTTGGAGTTCTTGCTCAGAATCTTTCTGCTTTGCCAAAACATCTTGTGCTTCATTTAGGATCTGGCGGGCACTATGGAAAGGGTTCCATCTTGCAGTAATGACAATATTTCTGTCCTTCCTTAACGTGTACTGCGCTGAGGTCCACTCCCATTCTCTCCGAATTGGACTAATGCCTGGGAGACCACGCTCTGAGAAACGCCAACTGCCTCTGCGATAGCCACTTGCACCGTGCAATAATCAGGATATTATAATCCAAATTTTAATTATTAATAAAACCATTAATTTAAAAAAATAAAAAGGAACCAAACAATTTCAGTCGGGTACGATCTAAGGAAACCTCTAGAAATTGAAGATTTCGAAAATTCAAAGTTCTCGGGACTTTTAATCTGGGCCCTGACGCTTCGAGTGACCTGACTCCCCTTTTTCACTAGTGGTCGGTACAGATATTGCCCGAAAGAAGAAGAAAGACCGGAACATGGTCTTTGTGTGGAAGAGGTTATACAAGCTTCTACTCCGGGGAGAAGAAAAGCCAAGGCCCGAATGAAATGGAAGCACTTAACGAAACTTTATATATAGGAAGTATATATAGGAATTTATGGGTCGACAAACAGATGAGGTCATCGCCGGCCCATGCGAGTTATCCTTCTTTTTGTGGCCTTTCAGGCGTATATTGTTTTAAACTGCAGTCATTTGAGCGTTTCGATCTGTTACTGACTCTGCTTTTATATGTACACTATGTCTATATCCTAAAATGCTAGCTTCTCGTTTGTACCTCAGGTTGTCAACTACAAAATATACAATACATATATTTACATCACCCCACGATGTAAACATAACAGTCTGGTCACATTCACTCTCCCAAAGTATTCGATACTCGGGGCGGTGCTGAATCCACTTCATTCTCGCTAATAAGTTACTTTTACTCCCCATACATCATACACTGACCCGAGTACTCTATATTCCTCGGGCGGGTTTAAACAACCCCTTCATTTCAAGCTAATAAATTGCATTCATTCTAATGATTATCATAAACACAACACATACACTGTACACATTTAAAAATCTCCTTAGCCCTGAGGTACCGGAAGAGCGAACTGTGCCCGCCGCCGTGCCCCAAGACTACCAGCAGGTCTGACAATATGCTCGTGATGAATTCAAAATTTATTTATTACTTTTCGCAATCGCAGAGTTCCTGGGTTCGATTCTGGGCATGCCCTTGGTATTTTTCATCCCTCACCTACGTAAAAAATATTTGGATGTAAAGCTCTATTGTAAAACTATAATGTGGTATGTCATAATGCTATATATAAGAAGAAGAACCTTCAGTTGTTTGAAGTTGTTCAATAAATTTCAATAATGATTACTTTTCAAAACACACATTCTAACGTCCAGCTGATCTCTATTTAAAAAAAAAAAAATCATAATGTACAATTCATAAGTGTTGAAAGCCGAGTGAATAGTTTTATTTGTACAACAAAATTGGTTCTTTTGATTCCCATTGTGCGCCTCACAGTTTAACAGACGTCTATGGCTGGATATTACAAGGGCTTCTTGTTATTTTTGCAATTATATGTCTTGTTTTGAAAAGGCAGTGCGAGCCGATGCATAAAAGGAGACCTTTGCTTATTTGGTGGCTTGACATATCGAAACAAGGGATAGGCGCATTCATAGCACATACGTCGAATATAACGCTATCTGAATTTTTCCTGGGAGATCCTTGCACGTGGTATGTCGCCAACGTTCTCTTGGACACTTCGATCGGCTTGCTGATCATCTACTTAGGTATAAGGACGTGTCATTATGTGTTCAAAAGGAAAGGATACGCCGTGCTCAGGATGGGAGACTACGGTACGCCTCCTTCTTTCTCGGTCTGGGCGGTCCAATGTGCAGTCTACGCGTTCATAGTGTTCGTCCAAAAGGCTTTTGTCGTGTTCGTTATGGACGTCTTCTGGGATAGGATCAAAGACGTCGTCTACCCAGTTGTAAATGAAAAAGTACAAAAAACACTGGTGTTGCTTGTGATACCGCTTATATTGAACATCGTCATGTTCTGGATCACAGACGACATACTTATAATACCCAAAGATCCAGAGATCGTCGAATATATCGGTTTGGATCAAGTTGAAGCGGATGCGGACTGTGTATGCCGAGATAATTAAACACTAAACACCGAATGGAAAAAGTGATCGATCGTCTTTTACCAAGTCTAATCAATAAAACGATAACTTTAATTCAAGCATGTGTTTTATCTTCGATCTTTATCATCAAATTCACTATTTTCGTGGTCCGCTTGACCAATTAATAATTTACAATTAATTAAGGTATTAAGTTGTAGAATCAAAGTTATAACTATTATACTCCCTTATGGAAAGTTAAGTTCATGATTTTTCTTTCGTAAATTATGGTTTTAAATATTAGTTGTAATTCCCTAATTTCGTGGTCCGCTTGACCAATTAATTAAGGTTTTTAGTTGAGATAAAAAATTCAAAAGGTGGGGTTGAGATGGGAAGTTGGTGTCCGAGTGGATCGAGGTCACGATAGCTCAAATGTTAGAGCAGCGGCGTATCTAGCCAAAGATCGTGGGTTCGAATCCCTCTCGTGCCATTGACTTTTTTATCTCAACTAAAAACCTTAATTAATTATTTATATATATTCACTTATATTATAATGCATTATTATTCTTCAAACCGTAATTAGTTGCATTTGGTTTACGCAAGTTAATTAATTTCATTAAAGATGAACTGAAAATGGGTATTTTCACCGAATACTTTTGTGATTATTAATGTAAAAAGCTTAAGCCGTTTATTGTAAATAAATATACAACTTATTCAACTATTAAATTCACTAGTTTCGTGGTCCGCTTGACATTTGTGGGTTTGAATCCCGCTCGTGCCATTAACTTTTTTATCTCAACTAAACACCTTAATTAATTGTAAATTATTCAACTATATTTTTACACTGCAGAAGAAAGTTTTCCATACCATCGTAATGTACAATTTCATTTTAAACTTATTTATATATATTCACTTATATTTATAACGCATTTTTATTTTTCAAAACGTAATTAGTTGCATTTGGTTTACGAAAGTTAATTAATTTTATTATAGATGAATTTAAAATCGATGTTTTTCACCAGATACTTGCGTGATCATTTATGTAAAATGCTTAAGCCGTTAATTATCATAATTAAATATTCTTATTAAACTATATTTAATAAGATAATAACTATATTAAATAACTTATTAAACTATGTTTTTAAACTGTATTTTTTCGTACAATAAATATATTATTATCATGCTCATTGACCTCTTGGCAGAAGATTGTTTTCCATACCATCGTAATGTACATTTTCATATTAAACTTATTTATATATATTCACTTATATTTATAACGCATCATTGTAAGTAATTAGTTGTATTTGGTTTATGTAAGTTAATTAATTAATTTTTATTAAAGATGAATTAAAAATCGATGTTTCTCACCGGATACTTGCATAGGAACTACGAAGTAACGAACGCCATTCGATAACTGATAAGGGCATACTTTAAACTTTTCAGTACCTGCGATATTCGAATCCGATGCCGGCTTTTATAATACGAACAGAACTGCATTTATGTTTATTTTAAAGATATAATTTATTTATCCCTTTATATAATCGGTGTTGTCATCGCGGCAAGATAAAATGTAAATATTCGTTGACAGACGAGTGCAATTCGGTTAAAATTTGTGTGAAATGGGCTCGTCTGTGAATTGGGAGGAGATCCGAGGAGATGACTTGAATTTGTCGTATTGTCACCATTTTCTCGAACCGGAACGTGCGACCAGCCTCTTGAAAACCCTCGAGTCGGAATTGGTGTATTTTTCCGGAGATAAGGCCAAAATCAAAATATTCGGGAAATGGAGAGACATCCCAAGGCAGCAGGTATAAAAAGAAAAGTCCATGTACGCCAACAGAGGATGATGACAATGAGGCCAAGAAACCTCTTTTAAAATTTTGTCTTCCGTCAGGTTGCCTTTGGCGACCCAGGGCTTACGTACACCTTCTCCGGGCTTTCAGTGCCGGCGCTCGCTTGGCCTAAAGTCCTCGAGGATTTGCGGGACGAGATCTATGACCGGATAGGGACATACTTTAATTTTGTCCTTGTCAACAGGTAAGCGGACCAAAACGTATCTAATCAAAATTTGCATTGATTTTCTTGAGTTAGGTATCGGGACGGTAGAGACAACATTGGTGAGCACCGTGATGACGAGAAAGAACTGAATGTCAATTCGGGTATCGCATCGCTGTCTTTAGGACAAGCCAGAGATTTCGTTCTGAGGCATAAAGATTTGAAGAACAAAATTCGCCACGTTCCGCCGGTCAAAGTGATCTTGGGCCACGGTAGCCTTCTTCATATGAAACATCCTACAAATTCTTTCTGGTACCACTCCTTACCTCCGAGGAAATCTCTTCCGGGGGTGAGAATCAATCTTACTTTCAGGTCAATTACAAGACAGAAGGAAAGACCATCATTGAGGAAGAATTCATTATAAATTAATTAGTCTTCTTGCCCTACACAGTTATCATAATTTGTTTATATATGTTATAATAAAATAATTTAAAAAACAAACTTATGTCTTAAATGATCATTGAAATCACTATTCCATATCCAAGATGAATCTTTCAAACCGATCTCTTCTTTTTATCTATGAAAAAAAAGTTTACTGTAAGTCAATTGAAAATAAGTCAAAGGTTGCATAAAAAATCAAAACATTATTATTTCAAATATATTACACAATTATATTAAAAAAATCTGTACAAATAAATATTTATATATACAATGAACCGTCAGCTGGCCCTAAATATTGGATTGCGATTAGGATAAAATCGATTACTGTCCATACGCCGAGGCCTCCGAAACTGAACAGCTTGCCAATTCCTTCTTGCCAGTATCCGAGATAAAACCTGTCAATGAAATGAAATACAGTTTACAGTTAAGGGGAAAAAATGCTTAAAGCTACCTATCGGCTCCGAAACCGCCGAGTGTTATGCTCAAGAGCATCGCTGTCGACCATCGATGCCCGCCAGTCCAATTGCAGGGGATGTTCCTCAGAAAAGTTCTTCTCCCGAGGCAAAGGATGTTATCGTATACTGTACAATTTGTTCTACGGGCAAGAAAACAATTTAATTAAAATTTTAAAACAATTTGATTAGTTTTACCTGTAGAAACTTTTGGGCGATGAGACAGAATTACAATTTGCTTTCAACACACAATTGTGTTCCCATTTTTCAGTCTGGTAACAGTACTGGCATCTGAACTGCCTTACGAAACTCCCATTAGTATTACCCTAGTAATAAAAAATAATTAAAAAATTTAAATTTATTAAGCTTTTAACAAAACTTGTCAAATGAACTTATTTCAGACGCTGTGAAAAAGGAGCTAGACGCTCCTAAACGTTATTTTAGTTGAATCTCACCATGCACCACTGTTAAAAATATATGCATCCACTAGAGCTAAATTAAGATTACACAACAAATATTTAGAGTACAATATAAATGAAATAATATCAGCTGTATGTACTTGGCAGTAGTTGATCAATGGAGAACAAAGTGCTGTCGTCATTTCGCCATAAACGCACTTTTCGTTGAATATACATGTTATACAAGGGTAATTGAGTTGCTCACACTTCACTTTTGGACAAACCGAGGACAGCTGAAACAATATTCACGTAATATGAAGAAATATTTTCCACAACTAGTAGGTTGAATTGGTCAATGGGTACATTGCAATGTAAAACCTTGTATAAAATTGCAAGATTTCCTCTTGGGTTCTGTATTTATCTGTATTAACTGTATTTAGGTCAGCCTGTTCTCGCTACTTTGGTTTATCGTATTCACTTAGTGCATACTAAATCGACTAGTATGTACATACACACTCATAAACATCAAAATCAGCAAATTTTGTGTATAGATGTCCAGTCAAATTCAAATGTATCTAGAAACGTCACACATCCAGGCCAGCACATCTCAGTTAAAATATTTTCTGAGATATCAAGATAGGTAAGACTAAGAACTACACAACCTCACACGACACTACTGTGCCTTTGCTGCTTGTACAGTTAAAATTTTTGATTGGAAAATAAAACATTTTTAAATTGTTTTTTTTTTCCAACATCAGACGCCATAGTTTCGTATTTTTTTAATCTTTCAAAATCAGACTTTTCTTATTGCATTTTTTAGTCTTCTGATGTGACATATACATGTGTTAGTGGTTATTTGTTTTGTTTTAGTGCATGTATTTATTAGTGTAAGTGGGGAAGGGCTGGTGGTGAAATATAGGGTTACCATCACTCCTCCAGCAGTGTTTGTGAGTTTAGGATACGGCGGAATATTTATAAAAGTACCCCACTGAACCTAATTTAGATTAGATTATTAATAATATGTGTATGTCTTAACTAATCAAAATGAGTGCCATATACATAAATGTGAATGTATTATAGATGTATACGCATATGTTTACAAGACTGCATTATAAAAATAGTTAGTTGTAGGCTAGGTTATATTTTTCATGCATTGGAGGCTGAAATGACCAAATTGTCAAAATACCCAGAAGCACAATGGGTATACACTCCCTAATACTCTAAGGTATACACCGAAGAGTCAGCAAATCAGGGAGTGACAATCTTTCAGGGTGGAAGTCTAATAGATAGTAGATGTTTATACACTTATTGACAAAATTAATGCAACACCTTACATTTTAATGTATTTAGGTTTATTCATATTTTGCATAGGAAAAATTGGTTTTTGCATACCGAAAAAAAAAAAAAAAATCAGTCCTCTTTGGTACTAAGTATTCCCACATCTGGTATGAATCATTGCATTCCTCAGAAAACATTTCTGATAAAATCCAGAGGAATTTTACATTCATCGAGAACAGCCATATCCAACAATTTTAGGGTGTTAAGACCTGGGTTTTACCGTCGTACTCCTTAAGTTGGTCCCAAATGTATTCGATTGGGTTCAAATATGGACTTAGAGCTGGCCACACCAAGTACTCAATTTCAATCTCATGCAGGTAATTCGTTCACAATATATGGGGCCTGGCATTATCCTGGATTAGCAAGAATTTCTCAACGATGTGGGGGAGGGGCACATGGCCCTTCACGCGCTTTGATTATGCCTTGTAAGTGCCTCAGGGAAGTTATAGACCTTCCTCGCAAAACAACCAATTCAGGGCGTCCAAGGAAGAGACACCTCAGAACATCAATGGAACCCACCATGGAATGCCACTTGAGGAACCACACAGAAAGGAAGAAGAAAGCAAGAAGGGTAGCAGAATGGAAGGGTATAAAGCTACTTTTTGTGCAAATGGGATTAATTGGTACAAAAGTAAACAAAACATTATTTACTGTTTATTTTGACTAAAATAGCTTCCAATTACTATGTATCTAATTTAGAATCATAATGGATTTAATTGTAAACAAAATAAATTGAGTGGTGTGTTAAATTTGTCCATCAGTGTATTTGAAAACATACAAAATAATCAACATGTAAACTACCAGCATGTATTTATATATAAACATGTCCATACTGAAAATATAGTGCAATTCAAGTTTTACACCCGAGATGGGAGACTTTTTGTTTTTGTTGCCATTTTGTCCACAGGGAGTTGTTAAAGAAGCAATTCGTCTATATATCAAAACATTTCCTTAGACATGAGTTTCATGATTTTGTCTATGAGTGTGTTTTAACCTCAGTCACAGGGGATTCAATGAGACTTTGAGACCTCTGATGACATGAATCATAAATGGCTCACACCCCAATACCATGGGAGAAATTTGACAATCAATGGCCATCAAGTCTCAAACGAGAGATATACAGGTCTTTACAATATAAATGCTAAAAGTGAAGTTAGAATTTATAGAAAATTATCGGAGGATTACTTCTAGGCGTTCTCCATGCTTCACCTCCATAGTTTATGGAATAATAGTTAAAAAGTAAAAATGGCAGTGCAAACAAATTGATTCTGTTAAAACATCAGAGCTTTAAGTTTACCTCTGTCGTATCGGCTCTGTTTACGTCGGGGATTTTATTTTGATCCTCTTCATCCGTCAATTGCGCTGCAATAGACACCATTTAAATTAACTTCATTTGAAAAACTATCCGATAGTATTTACCGTTGTGTGACGTCCTTGACAGGAAAAGTACTATGAAAAAGACTAATTTGAGGAACATTGTACATTAATTGGATTATAGTTTAATTAAATTTTTGAATGGTTTAATCCGCTCGGATTTTACGCATTTTGGATTTGGGGCTTGTTCACAATCCGAATGCCGACGTTATCAGTTGATAATTGATAGTAAATGCGGTTATCAAAACTCCATGTTGGCTCAAACGATTTCAAGGACAGTCTTTGACGACATGCCAGTTCGCAACTATTTTTAATTTTTAAACTTTGTCCTATTTAATTTTTAATTAATATGTTCCATAAAATCTTTGCGTATTTTCACACGAAATTCTATATAGATTGCTGAAAATTGGCAAAAAAATATATCTTTTATAAATTGTGTATTTGTGAAAAAATTTAATTAAAAATTTGGTAATTTACTTTGGCTATTAATTATTATTTATTTACCATATGTCTACAATTTTTTCTAAAGGTCTAAACAAACTGGGGTTTTTAATTCCCTACTTCCCCCCCAAGACTATGGACAATGAAGTCATTTCAGCCCCCTCGCACTGTTATTGCCGATGGAATACACAATATTTCACAATCGGTCATCTCATTAAACACACACTATTTCAATAAATTACAAATACATACACATATATTAATATAACTATACATATATACACATAAACCCATATAAATTTAAATATACATACATTTACAAGTACATCCCACACAGTATATTCATTTCTATGAGGGGGGGGTAGTAACTGAATTGATTGTACAAAACTCTTTAACAGAACTTATTCTTACAAAACAAGAACAAATACTGCCGTCTTCTGCTTGAAGTGTCTCTAACTGTCAACATCGAAACTGACGACCTAACTGTCGTTGTTTTTAGAACCCTTGGACAATATTTTCTCCAGGAGGCACACAGGTCTTTAATCCTTAGGTCTTAATTGAGATGAAAGAGCTAGTGTCATGAGCCAAAGTCGAACCCATGACTTTCGGCTGTGAGTTCGAATCCCATCCGTGACATTAGATTTTGAGAGAGACGTTAGATAAAAAGTATAAATAATTAAAATAATTAATGCAGTCTATGACTACTAAATACATATATGGCTTAAATGTATTCTTTCTTATTTACATGTGCAAAAAAATTCATATATGGACAAATACAGAAAATAACGGCAATACTATAAACCTAGGACGAGTCAGACTAGAATGATAGTTGGATCTGGAACTGCAGGCTCTGAAGACATATGAAAATATACAAAGCAGTAGAAACAAGCATGTGCATTTGCTACAAAGAATAGGAAATAACTGAACATCTCTGTTTGTTCAAAAGCCAATGCAGTCTGAGATTCTTACCTAGGGAAAGGAGCCTAAACCTGAAGGATACACATGGATTCCTTAAACAAAGCTTTGGGATCTCATGAAGAGCCATAATTATGGAGATTTCACAATAGGGCAATATTAGTCGCATTATTTAAAGTCATAAAGGGGCCCACTCCTTTTTAACCTTAACGTTAACCTTATATATTATTCTATCCAGTAGATAGGTAGAGTAGACATTATTCCTCCATCACTTTCTACCTTCTGTCATTCTCACTCTACACAATCACTCAAAAAAAATATGTTCATCTCAATATAAATAAAAGGATACATGAAACGAGATATCTATCAAGTAGTGTACAATCTAAAACAGTCCTGATGTAAGTTATGGTCCAAAAGTAAGTGACTGCCCTAACCTGATACTTACCTATTTACTAAAAGTGTCAACCTAGAAGGATTCATAGTCAGGTGAGTATGATCCATCTTCTTTGATTCGGATTCTCTGAAGAACACTTATGCTCTTGATGGAAGCATCTCTGCCGATCCGGTCTATTGGTGCTGGCACTTCTTTTTAACCAGCTTTTTATTGCAATTTTGGCATCATTCCTAACCATCCCTAACCTAAAATGTTGGCATCATTCCTAACCATCCTTAACCTAAAATTTTGGCATCATTCCTCACCATCCTTAACCTAAAATTTTGGCATCATCCCTAACCATCCTTAACCTAAAATTTTGGCATCATTCCCAACCATCCCTAACCTAAAATTTTGGCTTCATTCCTAACCATCCCTAACCTAAAATTTTGGCATCAGAGGGCTGAATTGCAATTTAATTCAATTATTTACTGTTCCCAAGTAATCTGTATATTAATAGCAATAAAAAATATCATATTAAGTGATAAAAACAAGGCTATTTATCATGTAATGATGTAAGTTACACATAAAAATAAATTCTAATGTTAGTTTGTGAAGGGTTTGAAGGTAATTGATTGAATACATTTTTGATACGGAGAAGAAAGTGTTTTATTGTGAAAGGACATCCGTTCAATAAAACATTTCCAAATTGCATTGTATTTAAAATTATTTTTCATTCGTATAGTACGATACATTACCAGGCCTGCGTAAATCGTCACTTCCCATTATTTCATTTCCTACATTTGATACAGCTGTTATAAATGCCGGAATGTAAGTCGTTTCTTTGACTAAATGGCCAAGACTTTCCATATAATTTACAATAGACTGAAAACAATTTAAAAGCAAATAATAAGTAGTAAAAGAAAAAGCAAGGTACATAGCAGATCACAATTGATTGTAATGCATAAATAAGCAATAAAAATTATATAGTAAAAAAAACCTTTTTCATAGCTGACTCATAGTCCCATTCCATAGGGAGGAGTTGATGATGAAATCTTGGAGATTGTATAGCTTCCTTAATGTTCCTGTTAAGCCAGAGATTATTTATTGCCACCTAGAATAATTAACAAAAGAAATAGATTCAAATTATTTTCATCATGAGTGATCCAGAAAAGATTTTCTTAAAAGGCAAAGCAAAGGTTACTTGAGCTGTCATAGTAGTGATTTTTGTGCCTCCTGCACCACCTATTGCTAGTCTCACATCACCATCACGGTTTACAAAAATGGCCGGACACATCGATGACACCGGCCTCGCACCGGGTTTAATAAAATTCGAAACTGAGGGTGTAACTCCAAAATAGTTATTTATGCCAGGAGAAGAAAAGTCATCCATTTCATCGTTTAAGATAATCCCAGTACTCTCGGACAACAGCTTACTGCCAAAACTAAAACAATTTATTTCAATAGTTTGTTTAAAATTTAACATAATTGAGTGGTAATCCTAACATCAAGTTAATTGTACTTGTGACGACTACAGCGTCCCCGTTGGGTGCTACTGCCACAATATTTGCTGTACCATGATCCTCAGTAAAATATTGAGCACCGTAGTCACTCGCATTTACTGATGTCTTGTTTAAATTGAGCTGACTTCTGACATTTTCAATTATTGTTGGATTTTGAAGTTCTTTTACAGTCTTAAAATATGGATTTAAAATTTAGTCGGATAATTATGAAAATAATTGTACAATGTAAAAATTTCTTACATTAGTAATATTGACAAAATATGGATCTCCTAAATGAGAACGAAATGCGTAGGCATGCTTAAAAGCTTCCGTGATCATTGCCACATCCTGTTCTTCGCTCGAAGAAGGAATTAGGCCATCTAGGACTCGTAGTATGAAAGAAAGTATCAGGCCTGAAGCCGGAGGAGGTGTTGAGAACATTTGCACTCCCCCGTTTAATGTGGCAGTGATCGGCTCTTCCCACCGGACTCTGTAAACCGAAGAAATCGTATATAAAATTATATAGAAATTTTCAATTTAACTATTACTTATATGATGCCAAATCTTCAACTGTTATTATGCCCCCATTGCTCACAATATCATTGACGAGAGGTACAGTTAGAGTACCGTTGTAAATAACAAGTGGTCCCTCCTCAGCAACAAGAGTCAACGTCTCAGCCAATTTAGGCATTTTTATTTTATCATTTTCAACAGGCAGTTCTCCCTTGTCATTTTGTAACAACTTTCTAAAATATAAAATTTACATATTTTAGAATAATTCTAATAAATTTAGTATTTGTCCTTACAAAAGACTTTTAGAATCCATAATTTCATTTTTATGATTTATTATATTATCAGCTAGATGTTTGTTAATCGGTACACCGTTTCTGCAAAGTTCGATCGTTGGCTGGAATAATTCTTTCCATGGTGCCCTTCCGCCGAATTTTTGGTACATCTCCCAGTATCCCATCAATTCCCCAGGTACTGCTATCGCTAGGCCTCCTTTTAATAATCATATCAAAGCAATAGAAAAATCAACACATTTTATATTGATTATTTGCATCTATCTATACTAGCATACATTTTTTTATAATTACTTCAAAGTTATGTAATGTTTATAATGGTAGTGTTTTATGAAAGTTCAAAATTACCGTTCCTTGAAAGGGTGCTGTTTTGATTGAACATGCTGATGCTTGCCGCTGCTGGTGCTGTTTCTCGTGCAATTAACGAGAAAGCTTTGCGCTCGCTCCTCTGATATATTGTTGCTACAAATCCTCCACCAACTCCCATCGTGCTCATCATTGTCACGCCGTCACACAGCAGCGTCGCGATTATCGCATCGACTGCATTGTCATATTTTCTCATTATGTTCCTAGCATCCAGTTTAGCATGAGATCATAAAAAAATATAGAAAATCAGTCGCAACTCACATTCCAATTTCTGAACATGGACCTCCGTTAGAAACAATTGCACCTCTGTTCAAATAATAAGAATTGATGTTTTTTCCAAATGTTATTATTATTATTGGAACAGCTATTGCTACCAAGATTAGAAATATGGCTGTCAGTATCATCAACTTCTTATAGCGGCGCCTTATATAGAGGTAATTATTTAGAAAGTTTTAGTATAAATATTGTAAAAAAAAATACGTACAGGTCCATGGTATAAAATATATGTCCTCTCTACTTGTGTAATGAATAATGGTTTTTCCTTCCTCTTTATCTCTCTTCTGTTTGCATTACCAAATCCCTGGATTTCACATTTTACTATAAAAATGTTTTTGGTAATTTAGCTGTTAATTTTTTAACTATCCAACACCATTATTACTACACATAATTGATATTCCAACATTTATGCAGTAAAGGATTGATTGAAAAGTATTGAACTATAGTGCAAAACAAGTGTTCAAGAACACTGTTTGTTATAGGAGTTAGTTATAGTTTCTTTCTTTTTTGAACAGTCTGATAAAGAAAATAAATATTCTCTCAAAAAGGTTTTGCTGATTCAAATGGCCTTCATGCGATTTTTGTGTGCAATCGGAATTTAACAAAGTGCATTCCAACTGGGGAGAAATGAAAACTACTGCAATAATTTTTAAATCTTTAATAGTTCATTACAATTCAAAGTTATATCTCAATGATTCACAGATCTATAATTTTGAAAATTTCTTCTATCTTTTGCAATGTGTGAAAGGTAAATTTGCGTTATGATAAGAGATAATTAATGCAAGAATTACAAAGAAACAATGTTTGTGTGCTAGTAAAACAAAGAACTTTTTACAAATTTTATTTGCTGAATTGACGATATAACAATCTATGTACATTAAATGAGTATAAATCTGGAAAATTATTTAGTAGGAAGTGTTTGTTTAAAATGATTCATGTTTTCAATTATTGGTTTAATTGAAATTGAATTTTTTGTCCCTTCTAACAAATAGGTTGTTGAGTTAGAAATGTTTCAAATTTAATAAGGATTAGAAAAATAGTTTGTACAACGTCATAAACAATTAAGATGGTTAAAATTCAATACTATCTAGGACTAGTAGTAAAAGTATTTCAACTTATTGGACTAGTAATGAATGATCAGCAGATGACTTATTGCCATTAACTTTTTTTTTTATAAAAACGGATATTTTAAAAAATTAATTGGCTTTTTTTATTAGGTTTTTTTCCTCAGCATTTCTGTTTTTAAAAATAAATTTATGTTTTATTGTTTTCAAAATACTCTTGGACCGTTCAGGAATTTATACCCATCAGCAACTAAAGTGTTTTTTTTTTTTTAACAAAAACATTTTACAAATAATTAATTAATGTTTTTATTATTGTTGATGGGTGTAAATTCCCAAATACATCAGAGTTTATTTTGTAAAAAATAAAACATAAATTTATTTTGAAAAATCTCAGAATACAGGTCAATTGTCAATTTGATGAAAGTGACAACCGACAGATTCAATGACATAAACCCTACTCAAATCTTTAATTTTTTATGAGGGTTTATAACAGGGTACAAATGCAGGGCCACTGGATTCAAACCCAGTGATAAGACTGTTGCACCCCCCAAAATCATCGATATTTTTATTTATAAATTAACCTAAAAGATTTCTTAATTAAATCATCTTAAGATTTAAAAATTTACATAGTATCTCATAGGGTTGGTACAAAATATGCTGAATAATTTTGAAAAAAAAAGAGTAAAATATGTAATAAAATAATAAGAAAGAAATGTGGAAAAAAAACCAACTTTATTATAAATACTTCAAAAAATTAAAGAAAATGCATATTAAACCACATTGATTAATTATTAAAAAATAATGAAATTGGCAACTTAGGTAGCCTTATCTTTGGTAACAAATTTTATTATTATTTATTTATTTAAAAAAATACAGATATATTATTCATTAATTAATAAATACTGATGTACAAAATGTAATGCAAATGATAAACACCACCATTTACAAGTTGTTTTTCTAGGTCAATTTTAATATTCATTTTTATTTTTAGATTAATATTCTGTTCTAGTTTTTGTAGGAGCTATGCATCATTGTAGCAATGTTTTGCTGATGGGTCAATGTATGAGTTTTCATGTTGAACACTCAACGAACTGGTGCGGCATTTAGCAAGGCAGAGTTCGTAATGGTCAGTCACCGATGCGAAGACGACGTGAAACGTGTCGGGAGCTCTTTGAAGCATCCCCTGAAGAAGGGCTTTCTGCAAGGGAAAAAGAAAGTTTATATCGTAAACAATGTACAACTAACTTATCAACCTTATTTGGCTGGAGACAGCAAGAGACGCAATATTCGTATATACTGCAGCAGCCGTTGTCTCTACAAGTCTCGCATGAATATCGCACATTTTGCACTGATAAGTCACAGCAGCCGGTCGGAAGGACGTTAAATCTCGAACATACATAGCCTAAATTGGAAGAAAAATAATATTCAATATTTATGCCATGACAATCTCTGATCCTGGTCTGCCTATCCTCCTATTTTACTGGATTTAGCATCTTTGGTGGTTGATCGATAAATCATTCAACAATATTTTACATGATATGTAGAAACATGTTGGACAGACCAATCATATCAGGTAGGCAGGCCAAGATGGTACCTAGGTAGGCTTGGTACCTAGCAGACCTCATCAAAATATTTCAATGGGACAAAATGGATCATATATTGTTGATTAAATTTGTTTAAAAGTACTTATTTTAATTAATTTATCTTCAAAAAATGTTATGGACTTGTTTTATTACCTAATACATAATCCAAGTCAACTATTATTTTCATATGCTAGAAAAGCTTACAGTGGAGTCCTGGTAGTTCAAACTGATTAGGACCGGATCCTGTACGGATTAGCCAAATAACTGCAATAATGAAGAAAAAAGCAGTAGAACAGTTCTGGTTTATTAATGAATGAATGTAAAATATAAGCATAGATCATGTACACATAATCTGGAAGTTTCAAAAAAGCTTGAAGATGGTGAAAGTGTAGCTTGGTTGTTATTGACCGTTGGTCTATCTATCCTCGCTGTTTTGGTGTCAGAAGCGTTTTGACACCTTGCCATCTTCAGTATTTAACAAAAATACGTGTTAAAACCATCCACTGACCAAATTGTTCTGAAATTAATAAACTATAGGTTCTCCAAAGTAAATATCACAATTTAAGGTTGAAAAGTTGGGGACTGTGATGACTCTCGGCTCTAGACTCGCGGTCACAGGTTTGATTCCCACCGCCGTCCCTGGCCCTTTTTTCATGCAACCCTTCCTGACTGAAATAATATCAGGTAAAACACGTTTAGTCATTTATGAATTGTGGTAGTGAACTCATTTTTGGTGCATGATCTGGGGAGAAAAAAAAGGACTCGCAACAGCAGAGATTATGTCAACCCTTGGGGTGCCGGTGTTTTTGAAAAAAGCCCATTTGTAAGTATGTCAAGTTCGAATTCAGAGCTGCTAAATTCGAACCCGGGACCTTTACCTTACAGTGATGAGCGCCGTGTCAACACCTAAACCATTGCGGCCACTGATGCTCCCGACTTTATTTTGTTGTTTATTTAAAACTATATGTATTTTTATCATTATAGTAATCACAACATACTTATTATACCAAATTAAACAAGTTTTAAAAATTATTTTATAATGATGATTTGAAAGAAATGTGTATACCTCATAGAGAGCCTTAATTCTCCTAGGTATCAAGTAAATAAGTGACCAGAATTTGTTTTGTGAAACTGAATACCATTCTTCAACAAGAACAGTTTAAACTGTCCAATGCTTTGGAGGTAATCGTCTCGTTATCATGTCCCGTAAGGTCTCTATAAGATTCATCAGGAGAACATGCTGGCCAATTTATTGTCATAAACCATACTCCTCCAAGTGATGGGTGCCTACTCGAGCTACATGCAGTCGAGCATTATCATTCATTAAGTTCTCCCCAATAAAGTGTGAATGGGACCACAGCTTCCACAACAACTTCCTCAATGTACCTTAGTGCAGTCAATAATCAGTTCAGGTGATTCCACCCCATACTGTAACTGACAGTATTTGAAAAGGTTGTGATACTCGCATGGCACATGAAGCAAAACAATCGAATCTTTTTCACACATGGTACTGGTCAACTGTCAAACCAGCACTCACCTGTGAAGTGCCCCCCCCCCTTTGTACAAGCATCTAAGCGATATATTGATTTGTGAACCCCATTCTACTCCATACCTCTCCTTTAGTAGAAGATCTGATGCAGTATGTCTAGAAATTATACTATTCTCATAAATCCTTCTGATTAATGCTTTAGAGCTCACCCTTACATAACATATAACCTTAGTGGAAGCGTGATTTCATCAGGAAGAAGAGAAGCAAGAAGCACTACATCAGTCAGCTGGGGTTTGAACAAGGGAACCGATATGACTTTTAGTTTCATTTCTCTCTCCTTCCCTTTCTTTACCAGTATTCCTTTATTTCTGGTTTTGGTATTTATCCTTTCACAAAAATACCATGGCACTCAATATAACATCTATAAATAAATTTGCACCCCCCTAACCATCACTTGCCTCTCCCTTCCACACTGAGCTACTGCCAATGCACGTGCAGCCACAGTAAGGAAGCTGTAACAAATTTGGTGCCCAACTCTGGCTAAAATAGCCAACTTACCAAAATGCAACAGACTCCAGATAAAAATTTTGAGACGAGAGTCGTGCTCAAGGCCAACCTTCAAAAAGTGTTATCACAAACGAAAACCAATGTTACATAATTATTCTACCTGTCTATTTTATTACAATCAAGACTCCTAGACCTTTAGGGACCCTAGACCCTAGACCGTGTATTTTCCAGATAATGTAGAAATCTCTCCTTTCAAGTGGAATAAATTTTAATTCAAAGAAATATTTTTTCCATTGATCGGTTATATAAACATATTTACTTTTCAAAGTGTAGCTTGTTCTAGGATCATTTTATTTTATATAAAAGGCTTTTCATAACGACGTAGTTTTTCATATAATTGGAAGATTGATTTTTGTTAAATAAGGTGTTTTGATGAAATAAATTTCTGTTAGAAATTTTTTTTAAAGTGATGAAGTTGTGTGTTTTTCATTTTTTGAGCACCCATTTGAACATGATTTATAGAAATTTAGTCATGACTAATTTAGCCATCAATAACATATGGTGTCTAATGACTAAATTAGTCACTTACTACCAATCTTGATTAACCGTCTGAGTGATCAATCATTGATCATTAGACATGACTAATTTTTGCCCCACACTGCCCACCATATGGGGCTTGCCATAATAAGAGAGAGGCGTATAAATAAACCATCATAGGAAGGAGAAAGGTTGGAAAGGGAAGGAGAGAGAGAAATGAAACAAAGTCAGATTGGTTCCCTTGTTCAAACTCCAGCCGACCGATGTAGTTTTAATGTTTCTCTTCATCCTGATGAAGCCTGCTTCTGCTTCCACCCTAGGTTATATTATGGGAACTAAATAATAAAGTTTTTCCTGCTTCTACAGGAGTTAATTTGATAACACAAGTAATCTTACTCTTCTATTTATCACTAAATTTAAATATTATATTTAAATTAAACTAATAATAAATGGATACACCTAATGTCTGAAGTGCCAAATTATCAGACCTGATAAAGAAATTGAAAAGGAACAAACTCATGAGATCACTCTTACACTTCAGACTGTACCGTGTTCAGCAGCGTTCTCTTTGGAAGAACCCTCCGCACCCTTAGACAAACACCACTCGAACTGGGACCACACTTTTTTTTTTACAATTTTTCCTTGTACTCATGGAGACTAACTATTATTCTGATTGTCTGTTTTGAACCCACTGTCGCCTTCTTTTTTTTTTGCTCCTAGCCTCAAACCCAGTGCCCTCCTAGACAAGATCTTCCAGGCCACAAAATGCTTACTGCTTCTCGTCTCGGTTTGACCCGTCACTATTTCAAGTTTGATTAAATTTTTTACAAGAAATAAATGTAATAAACGGAAGTAGACTATCTATCATGGAAGCCATTAAAAGCAGTAAAATGATCATCTCTAGCCAGTGTACATTGCAGTGGACCACTTTTTTCAATTGAGACTTCCAATGCCACCAAATCGCTGTAGACCATCATGGATGGTAGAACATGGCACACCCATGATTTGGGCTATATAATGGATGTTTTAATCATCGTCAACCAAAACATCGATCTTCTTGATTTAAAACTACGCTTATAAGGAAAAAATTAATATTAATTAAATTATTGATGAAAATATCAATCCTGATAAATAGGATATTCCTTGGATGGTCAACAAAGGAATAAAGTGTTATTTTTTTCTGGCAAACAATAACAAAGTTTAAAGTTTTGACATTTGTATTTAAGAGAGAATGAGAAAAAATGGTAGTGACCTCTGTCGTCGACCATCAAGTTTTTCCCTTGGACCGAGTTCCTGCACGTGGTGAGCCTGCTGCTCGAGTTGTCCGTGTCATCCTGCTCAGAGTGCCAGATGAGGGAGTCGAAGTTCCTGAGGTTGGCGGACCCGAGGTCGTCAGTCGAGGAGAACGGGACCTGGGGAAAGAAAGTGTCAAATATATATAGTCAAATGTCAAATATAACTGTCCTACCTCGTGAATAAAATTGAGCACGCAGTAGCAAAGGGAAAATGTGAATATAATCGCGAGGACGGCTTTCTTTCTGATAAACTTCGACAGATACGTCAATGCCATTTCTCAAATTTACGTTCATAACTGTCGGACCTACAGATTCTGTCAAACGAAGTTTATTTCAAAAGAAAATAACAGAATTGTGTAAATATTATGAGATTTTATCTTGTTAACGGGAGCGGGAAGAGGTTATAGCTGTGGTTACTGATAACATCTTTGTAATCATCAATGATAGCGAAAATTCCATAATATTACCATTATATTAAGACGTCATTAAATATGCTTTTGGTGAATTGCATCGACATTTATTTATTAACGGTGACCTAGACTTTGGATTTCAATTCGTCCTATTCCTTTGAATGAATCTTAATGCAAAATATCGGATTCACAGGTCTTAAGGATTAGCTGGAGGATGGGGTTTCATGTTTTAGATGTGCCAAGAACCAAGGGATTCTTCCATGCTCTCCACCTCAGCAATCACCGGATCATGAAGCATCTTCTTGATCCTACACGGAAAAAATGTTGTTTCTAGGAGTTGTACTAACTCGTTTTTATGTTTTTATTCCACACAATATCACCAGTATGAAAATTGACCTTACGTCTTCTCAATTTGCAATTTCTCCCTTTTTTACAGGCCCTATTAAGGCAAATTTGTACGTTTTGGTATTTCAGAGGCACCTTGTTCACATATTTGACGTATTCTTCTCTTCAAACTACTGGAAGCATCTATGTACATTGCAGCGACATTCGATTTATTTATTAACAGTGACGTAGACTGTGGATTGAAAAGAATGGATTCGTTGGATGGCGGAGGATTTGGCCGAGCTTCACAATTCGACTTCGTAAGTCTAAATCGGTTCGATGTTTTGTAAGCCGTTAGTTTATTATGTATGCCTAGTGTTGATTATGGTAACAGTAGGTGTCTGAGTAGTGAATATCTTTCGTCTTAACGATAATATAGATAACAGACTTACAAGGAACTACACATACAAGATAAAAATATAAGAACTTATTCTTATATTTTTATCTTGTATGTGTAGTTCCTTGTAAGTCTGTTATCTAAGTAAAGCTCAAGGTAGAGGACTTGGCTGAAGTTAGGTGTTACTTGTTTGTGCATTGATGGGCAGGTCTGATGTTTGAGCATCAATGTTACTTATTGGCTTTTCCTCGTTCAACCGGAACTGCCACTTAGTGCACCGTCAAGTAATAAGTTGGACTGCTTCTGTGGCTAGTTTAGGATTGACGAGTGAAGATCAACAGGTTCGATATGTTTCTCTAGATAACAGTATTTGCTAGTTTCCGACATCTTGGTTTGCCTATCGTCCTTGTGTTAGTTATCAGACGAGTTTCGCTAATACGCTATCTTCAACTGTGGTTTTTTTGTAGTTGCTGGGCTGAGTGCCCTAAAAAAAGGTGGTATAATGTGCTGAAGATGGCGAAATACAGAACCGCATCTGTCTTACCAGGGATGAAATCTCACGGTGAAGATTACCTTAGATGAAAGTGCTTTGATAACAATCCTGTCAGTTTTCCAAAATTGTTTCAGCTGAACGACCTTATTTGTTTAACACCTTAGGTTAGACAGGTCCATCCACAGATGTTTTTCTGATGCATTCGGTGCATTTTGCAAATCTTCTGCAAGCCTGTTATACCTAATCCGCCACCGAGTAAACCAATCGGCAATGAGGTTCAGATGTTGTTGGATTATTTCTTTGGCTAGGCTGTAGTGTAGATAGGATAGGTCCGGAAAGGTTTTGCGTTGTTTGTTTGGATATGTAGGTATGTCAGCAGTGTCGATGCCGTTTAATATAACAATGTGATGTTCAATTAAATCACAATCGGCACAATATCAGCACTATTTATCCTCACTGACCTTGCACTAATTTCCACTTTCTTCTTGTCTCGAGTTCCGAGTTTCGAGAATATATGATTTACTTACTAATTCTCTGTATTCAATTATTGTTTATTCACTAATTACATTCACTTTGTTTAGTACAATCTGCAACGATGTGTTCCTCACACGTAATTATTTCACTCAGAATATTTTTATTAAAAATTTCCTTGTACAACCAGTAGAAAAAACAATCTTTTAACTGCCGATGAATAACCTAAACTTATGCTACGAAGTTATTTTCTTATTCAGAAAAGCATGAATATTGCATATCCTCCTATTAAACAGACCTAAAAGCCGATTTCGCTACCTTCGGAAGTTCACTTTTGAAAGTTTTTGAACCAGACTCAAGTCCATATAACCATAAAGCTTTCACCTCTTATAATAAAAAAAATCCCGCTTTCAACGTCATTGGTTATTTTATTCAATAATGGCAAAATAATAAAAATGGCGTTTAAATCAGATATAACGTATGTGTAATATCAACCTTTAGTATTGTAGTTTTATATTGTTTGATAATTTTTATGTAAAGTGTGGTTAAGATGAAAAAATAGCGTCATGAGTGGGACTCGAACCTGCGACATCAGCTTATAGTATTTTTATTAAAATTCAGGAATGTGAAAGCATGCGAACTGTAACTACGAAAAATTATGCATACCGATTTGGACTCTGGTTCTATTTTCATATAAAAAATGCAAATAGGTTAGGTACGTACGTTCCTGAAATTAAAAATAAAATAAAAAACCTTTATAAGTTCAGAAAAAAATGCTTAATGGCATTATTACGAATGAACTTGAAGTCAAATGCGTGTTCGAAGTCGTCCTCTACAATCGCAACGCAGGAACCCAATATGGCAATTCCAGGTTGATATTTATCAGTTGTACAGGTATGATTACTTGTTATTATAGCATAATATGATTTGTTAATGTACCAGATTTATTAGTAAATTTTAGCTGAAAACCAATAGACGATATCGCCTTATACTGGAAAATGCTATTGTCCCAAGTATCATGTCGTTGAAAATATTCAAAATGGGTGTTCCAAAGCGCACTACGCACCGTCAGGAAATTAGAGCTAGAGATGAAAGAGGCGGCCCCGAGGGCTTGTGCACCTCGACCTGAGCCAGTTTATTGTGCTCTTCTGGTTTTTACAACTCAGGGGAGAAGAAGTTCAATTTCAAGAAGTTGATCGACCAAAGCCTTGCCGGCGGATCAGAAAATGAAGTGTTTGGAGGCATAGTTACTGAAACCGAAGGGACATCCTTCAAATGGCCACCTTAACTTCATTTGTTGAGCGATATCAAGCCTTAAATTTACACCAATCTCATCGTTTTTCACAAAATAAATCATTTGCAGCATGCTACGCAAATAAGTAATACACTGATGAACAAATTTAACGCACTCAATTTATTTAATTTAAAATTAAATCCATTATCTTTCCATTAGTGAAAAAATAATCTGGATGATCCATTGCACTCTTCAAACTGAAAGTTAATAACAAAGTAATTTTAACGAGGTTGTTCCTATAACCAAGGGCGTATTACAAGGCGAATCACTGTCTCCTCTATTATTTTCTATATTTTTGTCTGATTTCGTTTCCTTTTTGGAATCTCACAACATAGTAGGGGTCAAGTTGGACAAAGCTAATCTACATTGTGTGTCTTCTGTTCGCGGACAACATAGTATTGTTTGGCTGTCTGAATACTTCACCACAGACAGCCTAAATGTTAATATTAAAGGAAAAAAAATGCAATGGTATTAAGAACTTCGTCCAAATGAAAACATTTGAGACCACTGCGATACCAAGAGAATATTATCGAGTATTCATTAGAGTTCGTGGTCCGATTGACCGAATAACTTTTTTCAATTAATTAATCTTTATATTAGGTATATATATAGGTATTATATATAGGTAAATTCTTATATAAAGGTATTGGTTGAGATAAAAAATGGCAAAAAGGGGGGGGGAAATTCGAAAGGAGGGGTTGAGATGGGAAGTTAGTGTCCCAGTGGATCGAAGCCGTATCTAGCCGAAGGTCGTGGGTTCGAGTCCCGCTCGTGAGGCTGACTTTTTTATCTCAACTAAAAACCTTAATTAATTGAAATTATTCTTATGCTTAAACCTTTTTAGTGGCTCTAGTCAGGCATTTGAATGAGTATGGCAGTGTCAGGTCATAAAATTTCAACATTAGAAGGCCAGGACAGGGTCGACCTAGGTCTAGGACGAGAGAGACGACAGATTCATCCGTCATCAGGTTCTACGATACCGAAGCATTACGGGAATTTAGATAAGAAATATGATAAGAAATCCGAAATGTTTCGATTTCATGAATTTTTTTAAATTTTCGAGAATTCTTAGAAAAATCTCTCAATCATTACTTTGGTTAATTTAAACAAACTAAAATACATATGCATTAGGTAATAATGTACGGCTCGAAGATATTTTTTAAAAGTTGTATTTGTGTGCAATACTATGCAAAGGGTTTTTTAACATTAAACAAATACATATGGTTGTGTTAAAAATATGCTGACCAACCTTCTGAATGATTTTTATCAGATCTGTGTTGTATTTGACTAGTGATCAATGGAGTTTCCGTTACACGACATAGTCACAGAATCACTGCAACAAAATTTATGAAAAAATACACTTTTGCAAAGCATAAATCTATTACAATGCACGGTTTCTTTGACAGATATAGAGAAAACGTGGCCGCTGTCGTTTTCGACACGTGGTTCCTTTCTGTTCACACGGATGTTTAGATAAACCTGTTTAGTACTTGTAGTATTTAGTAGAAAAAAAAACAACAACTAACAAATCATTAGAAAATTCATGGTAAAAAATAGACTATATTTCCCGTCAGCTGTTTGAAATTTCTTTCTGCAAAATTGAGATAAGTTCAAAATTATGAGGTTTAAGTGGGATACGGGATGATAAAGAGGATCCGAGGAGGCATGGGAGGCATATGGGGATTGAAATGTTGGCGTTCGAATTCGGGAGCGTTCATACCCTACATACCGAGTATCGTCTTCCTCTTCAACTACTTCCTGGCTTTTCACCAACTGGCGTCCATCGCTTTCCCGAGCAGGGCGAGGATGTCCTTCATCTTCAGGGTGAGTCGATACTTTTCGTTTTCACCTCGTGCATTTCATGGTTCTGCTCCAAAAAAGGTTGTATTTATTAATTAGATTAAGTCTCTTAATTAACTGAACGTTATAACGAACAAGTGTAAAATATGCATATAAATTACGTACAGTATTTATGTAGGAGCACATGATAAAGCACCGTCTTCTTAACCGGCCTCTAAGCCTTCGTGATACCCTCTATTCTTTGAACGTTAACACGGAACTTTCAAAAAAATAAAATACTTTAGTAAAAAATAAAGTATTACTTTGAGTAACGTGTCTGTGTGTATTAAGTTTACTACAATTTAATTTTTCAATTGACATGGCCGATTTTTGTTCTAGTGGGCGATATCAGTTTTTCTCCTCTCACACGCAATAGATATCTGGCAGAAAACGATACTGCTAGTTGATCTACTCGTGGAGTTGTACTTGACGGTGAGAAACGTAAAAATGTTAAGAATTATTATTCATCGATAAGTTCGTGTTCGTATGATAAAGAAATCACTTATTAACATGCTTGTAAAAAACAAGAACTGTTCCTCCCCACAAAACAAAATGGTTTCGAGACACATATGATGGGTATAAAGACAATTAAAACTTAATCCAAACCAAAGAATTACTATATTTTAATATAAGAAAGAGACAAATGTCAGCGTTGATGTTCATTAGATTAAATCCATATCGTGTGTAAAGTTATAACATTTTTTCCCAGGGTCTAAGGCAGTGGTTCCCAAACTTTTTTGACCCATGTACCCCTTTTTATAGCCAAAAATTTCCCAAGGACCCCCAAGTGAAAAGCCAAATGGTAAATGCATAGTATAAAAATTACAAAAAAAAGTTTTGTTGAAGAAGTATTTATTGAAATTATAAATATATATAAATTATCATATTTATTACCTTTGTTTAAAATAAAATATAAAAAAATTAATGACTTGGATGAACGTGATGAAATGTTATGAGTGTATACATGTCCGGCTCAATGTTTGTGAGTGGCAACCGCAAATCCCCACGAGCACTAATTTCTAATCGGATTTTTTTTTTTTGTGATGAGGTTCATGGTAGCACTGAATCAACGTTCTACCAAATAGGAAGACGGGAAAGCAGTCAACAACTTCTGTACAATAACGCATAATGCAGGATATAAAATTGGGATATGTTTTTTTAAGAAGAATTTGTGGTATCCTTGTGCAAACATTGGTTAAGTTCCTCATTTTTGGATATTTCAATAAGCTGCTCCTGTATTAGTACGGATTCATCTGTGTTTGGGATCTGAGTTTGTCCACGTGCAAAAGGGTTCAACATCCAGTCGGGAATGTCCAAGTGAATACCTTCAAATCTCTGGTTCAGGTCTGTATGAAGAGCCGTTAAGTGTTGACAGAAAGCAACAAATCTTCATCTCTAATTTGCAATTTCGAAAGATTTGGAAACTGAGAGCATTTTCCTCTTCCCAGGTTTTGTTTATACAGAAAAAGTTTTGCAACGAACGCAGATATTACGCTTTTAGTTTTGATTAAATTTAATTGGTCACCTCGTAGTTTCAAATTAGTTTCGTTAAATTTGGCAAATAAATCATAGGCTATCATATAGGCTAGGTAATTTTTTGAGTTAATTAAATTGTGTTGCAAATCATTGTCTTTGCTTTTCAGGAATTCCAACACTGAATCAAAGAGCGCATAAAATCGATTTAAAAATGCACTTATAGATAACCAACGTATTTCTGTTGTATATTATATTATTTTAAATTATTATTTATATTACATTAAACCTTGCGCGGACCCCCTGACGTTGTTCAGAGACCCCCAAATCAATTTTAATTTTCCACGGACCCCATGAATGATACCGGGGACCCCTGGGGGTCCGTAAGGACCACTTTGGGAACCACTGGTCTAAGGGGTGATGAGTTGTAGTTGAACCTGTAGTTTAGTCGTTTCCGATAATTTTTAGTTGTTATTTTCGTCTAACAGACATAAATTGTTTCTAATATTAATAATTGTTGTACTTGTAGTGTTCGAATATCTAAGATTGTGAAATATAGCACTCTCTCTCCCTAATGCCAACTGTTTTCCGAAAATTCAAGAGTTAGCTTAGAGTTAAACATTTAGGGGTGAAAGGTGAAAGGGGGGAGGGAGAGAGAGTGAGAGAGTGGGTTTAAGAGAGAGAGAGAGGGAGATGGAGGGAGAAAGGAAGAGAGAGAGAGTTAGAGAAAGTGAGTGGGTGTAAGAGAGAGATGGAGATGGAAACAGATAGGAAGAGAGAGAGGGAGAAAGAGAGTGAGTGAGTGTGTGAGTGTGTTGTGTATGAGAGAGAGAGAGAGAGAGAGAGAGAGAGAGAGAGAGAGAGAGAGAGAGAGAGAGAGAGAGAGAGAGAGAGAGAGAGAGAGTGAGAATGAGAAAGTGCACTCACTCTCTTTCTCCTTCTCTCTTTCTTCTTCTTCTTCTTCTCCTCTCTCTCACTCTCTCTCTCTCTCCCTCCCTCTCTCAAAGTGAGTAACTCACTTAGAGAGAGTGAGTGAGTGTAAGAAAGTGAGGAAGAGGGGAGGGAGAGGGAGAAAGAGAGTCAGTGAGCTAGAGAAAATGAGTGAGAGAGATGCTACAGTCCGAAATAGCGAGGATAGGCGGACCGGACTATCGTAAAATGAACGAAACGACAAAACTCTTGATTCATCCACTCCGCAGACCGCAAAATGTAATCTCCCGATGTTTATAATTATTAAAATTGACCACTTCTGATAATAAAAAATGTACAAAACACCATCAATGTTCAAAGTCCAAAGCCTGGCCTGGCCTTTATAACCTGTAATACAAATAATTGTAATAATTAAAAAAAGTTAAGCAAGCGTTATAAAAGTATAAACAATTGTTTAAATTGTAGAAATAACCCACCAAACGCTTTTGTTTTCAGACAGAACCGCACTATTTGCGTATATCTTGTTTAAATTTGAATATTCCATTTATTTACAACGATTTGACCAAGTTCGTGATATTGTTGATACTTTCCACCCTGCCTCTCTTAATCAACTGGATCGTTTTGAGGCAGCAACAGAGGTGAGAGGCCGCTCGGCCAAAACCGCCGGCCACAATCTGTCCACAACCAGTTTGTTTCAAAGTGGTATCGCTTTTTCAGCAGGTTCACCTGGTTCGACGTCCGTCGCAGATACCGGACCGAACTCGGCTCCAGTCGCTACTACCTTTCCAGGCCCTGTTCGCCCTTGGAACAGGAGAAAAGTCGAGGGAGAATTAAAAAAACACAAAGCGAAGAAATCAGAAGACCTCTCAGACCTCTTCCTATAATTAAATCGAAGTCTGCTTAATTTTTAATAAATGTCTATATCAACTTTTAGAATTATTATGCAATATATATTTTTTTGCCTTAAGTATATATTACAAATTCTCTATCTATGCGAGCTGTTCATGTTAGCTTCAAATTACAGCTTATTTATGTAAATTAACCTTTTTAAAAGCTAAAGTTATTCTAGGTATACTTTATAATTTCTTGGTTTTATGATTCATATTGTGACTAGAAGATTATGTTCTTGCAAATTGATTATATTATGAACGTTGTAAAATTCATATTTTAGTTGATGCCAGTATTGGCCCTTTTAAGCTAATGCTGGATGTAAAAAATTAATGGCTTATGCAAGCTTTATGCTATAGTAGTTGTTGTAACTATTAATAAAGCTCTAAAGATGAAACACCTTCCGATTTTCGGTAGGAAAAACAAAATTATCCAGTAATTTTTAATCTTTATTTCAAACCGTTAAAAAACTATATTGGGCAAAGTTCACCGTCGTCCTATTTTCGAAGGATATTGCGTGACAATACATTTTCGATAAATTGTACACCCTTGGCTGAAATATTTTACAAGTTTATTACATTTTATTGGTGTGGCGAGTTTGTATCTCAAGATATTATCTTTGGTTGGATCATTTATTTTCGTCACTTTAAAGATAATCTCTGTGAGTTATGAGGACTGGCCACGATGTCGACGGGGTGACTTTCATTTAAAGGGCTTCGTACTTTGTTAAAAAGGTCACTTATTACGTACCATATAATTTGCCTTTAATGATTTCTTTATTGTTTTCATGAATAAACAGTGTTCCTGGTATACGAAACAGGCTATAATTTAAGATCTGTTAAAACGGAACTTTATAAATTTAGAAAAATGAAAATAGAATGAACCTACAACCTTCAACCCTTCCTAAAAGTCGACGACCTTCTGGTTTCTTGCCACGTTGACAAAAAAAGGAATAGACTTGCTGAAGATTTGCAAAATGCGAGCGAATGCATCAGAAAAACATCTGTGGACGGACCTATTTAACCAAGGCGTTCAAAACGAATAAGGTCGTTCAGTTGAAACAATTTTGGAAAACTGACAGGATTGCTGTCAAGGCACATTCATTTAAAGTTGTCTTAATCGTGAGATTTCCTCCCTGGGTTGGTGTACCATCTTCAATACATTATACCACATCTTTTTGGACAAACAGACCAACGTGTACAGAAACCATCGAAGATGGCGAAATGGCGAAACGTCTGACAGACTAATCCAAGGAAGATAGGCAGACCAAGATGTCGGAAACGAACAAATAATGTTATCTAGAGAAACATATCGAACCTATTGATTTTCACATTCCAATCCTAAGCTAGCAAAAGAAGTACTTAGAAGAAGAAGAACTTATTACCGACTCGGTGATGGAACAGGTTGGACAAGGAAAAAAAGCCAAAAAGCCTCAAACGTCAGTTCTGCCCATCATTGCACATAAACAACAACCTATCTTCAGCCACGTTTGCTACCTTGGACTTTACTTAGATAAAGATTGATAGCAGACTTACATGGAAATCCGAATACAAAATTAAAAGATATGCACTACTCTGATACCGACTAGAACCAAAATCAACACTAGGCATATAACAAGCTAACCGCTTACACAACATCAGATTGATTTGGGCTCACGGAGTCGAACTGTGAAGCTCGGCCAAATCCTCCAACATCCAATGAATCCAAACCTAAGTCTACCTCATCGTTAATAAATAAATAGAATATCGCCACAATTAGTGACATAGATGGTATTCCCGTTGCTTCATAAGAAGAATATGTCAATCATCTGAACATATATACCAAGAAGTTTTCAATGGGTGGTATATTGTGGCAAAGGCGTGGGGTGCAACCTGAAATGGTCAGTTCCCTTTCTGAATCCAGGTCCTTCGGCTACTTCCTTGATACCTCTCCCAACCGTTGGATACAAGGTGGTATCCAGGCGCAACATAATGGCGTAGCTTTGAGAGCGTGGCATCCTCTCTAAAGCACAAGCTGGAATAGTGTTGGCCCCCGGGTCGGCAGCGGACGGCGAGTGCTGCATCAGAGGCACACGAGGGTTAGGGTACAGATCCTGTCAGCATAGACGGGGGAGGGTCCATGACCATCTGAACTACAGGGTAGCAGAAAGCGAACGTCCATACCATGTTGAATACACCGGTTCTCATCCGATCACCGAAGTTAAGCAGCATCGGGCGTGGTTAGTAGCTGGATGGGGTAGCAGAAAATGCTTCAAGTCCAAACCCCGAACATGGGAATGGACTCGTAGTGGCTTAGTGGTGAGGCTCCTGGCGAGAACTTAGTGTGTGAACCTGTTGCTTGGGGGTGCCGTTATCGGTTTCCATCTGAGGGCTGTGTTCCTCTAGGGGGTGGTTAGATATTCCACTTTAAACAAAACCGCGGCCCTTAGCGGATCCGGCAGTCTTTACGCTGGAGGAGCACCAATACTCCGGGAGAGAGAGTTGCCTTCTCTATCTAGAGAGCTCGGCGGGACGACCCAGGCTGATGCATTTCAGCCACATGGGGTTACTCTTTCCGAGAGGCACACGGTTTGTGCTTCCATCCACCCGGAATGGACAAGCGGAGAGTGAGGTCCGTCTCGGCCCCTCGGGCAAACACTAAAACTTGCGGCAATAACACCCATCCAGTCCACCGGACGGTAGGGCTGCAAGGCTAGGTACGGACGTTAAAGATCCTCATGTCCTTATAAGGGCTAACGAGTACATACGGGAACCTAATACAAAGAAGTATAAGATTGCTTTAATAGGACCTGTGAAAAAGGGAGAAGTTGCTATTTGAGAAGACTTAAGGTGAACTATCATTCTGGTGATATTGTTTGGAAGAAAAACATAAAAAAGAGTCAGTATTACTCCTAACAGCTAGCTCCAACATTTATTCAGTGTAGGATCAAGAAGATGCTATCTCCGGCCATTGCTGAGGTGGAGAGCATGGAAGACTCCCTTGGTTCGTGGCACATCCAAAACTTGAAACCCCATTTTTCTGCTAATCCTTAAGACCTGTGTCATTTTGCATTTAGGATTCATTCAGAGGAAAAAGGGGGCTTTTAGACAATTGACAGTATTGTCAGTACAAAGTTATCTTAATCGTGGATATTCCTCGCTGGGTTGTTGTGTCAGACGCATTTCTATATTTCCCCATTTTCAGTAAATATATCAAGTTTCTTTTGGGCGCACAAACCGCGAAAGTACAAACCCATCTCTTAAGATGGCGGAACACGCCAGAGAGACCAACCCAGCGAGGATAGGCAGACCAAGATGATCGGTATGTTCATGTATTTATTCAATCTCTAATAATTTATTCAGTGTCTAATAGAAACATATCGAATCTGATGACTGTAGGGAAGAATCTATCTCGCAGATTAAGTAACTGTAGAACACATAACAAGAAAGACTTCATAGACAATCCTCATCGTAATATATATTACTGACATTTCAAGCCAAAACAAAAAGTGTTATCTAGTGACCAACTAAAACTAGGTCAACACAAAAGGTTTTACGTGTCACACTGCAAATAGGATACACAAGTGTTTGAAAGACATCCACTTCCACTTTTAGCTTCGTGCTACTGAAAAAATTTAATTAAAATTCTCAATCTATATTTGTGGCCGATTAAAGCCATTGAGATAACAGAGATTGCTCAGGTAAAATTCACTCGATAATATATAATTCTTTATCAAGTTCATTCACGTCACTTTAGTAATTCATTGAAGTCTGAGTAGTTAGGAGCACCACGATGGCACGCCCAGTAGCGAAATTGTTTTTCGAGGTTGGCAAGTGGAAGTTTGAGTCCGAGATAATCTTCAGCAATGTATTTTTAATCCAGAGGTAACTTTTTCCATTAATGTCCAACGGCTTCTAATTGGGAGTAAGTAGTATTATTAATTAATTAAATAAATTTTCAAGTGTCAATGGCCGGATGACACAAAGGAAAAAGTATTTAAAGAAAGTAAATTATTTTATTAGTCCACGGGAAAATATTTTTTTTTACGAAGATATTTGAATTACGAGGTTATATGGAGCCCTGGGTGTGCAGGTGTTTTTGAAACAAAAAGCCCATTTGTGAGTATGTCGGGTCTCAGGAACCCGGGACCTTCACCTTACAACGTTGAATCGCCGTGTCTGTTTTTTATACAAGAACACATCACTAAAATTTAAATTTCTTTAAAAAATTGAACGGTTAAGTAGTAAAGTACTAAACATAAAAAGACAATAAGCAAGACTTAATTATCGATAAGTCAGTGTATTATTTACTACCATCAAAGGCTCACGTTAATTCTAAAATAATGTGAAATGAAAATACACATAAAAGAACACACACACACTCACACACACCAGCGCGCGCACACGAACACGCACACGCACTCTCACGCACGCACGCACACACGCACGCACACGCACGCACACGCACGCACGCACACACGCACGCACACACTCACACACACCAGCGCGCGCACACTCACACACACCAGCGCGCGCACACACACACACACACACACGCACACATACACGCACACACACGCACACGATCACGCACACGCGCGCGCACACACACACACACACACACACACACGCGTATATGCGTATATATGTAAGTATGTATATATGTATATGTGTATATATGTAAGTATGTGTATATGTATTGGGTTGTCCGGAAAATAATGCAGGATTTTGGTATTAAACAAAAAAAAAGAAACTAGTTACTTTAAAGCAATGTTCTTTAATCAAAATAATTTCCCATACTCTCAATACATTTCTCCCAACGTGTTGGTAACTTATTAATTCCGTCTGAGTAGAATTCAGAATTTTTAGAATTGATAAAGTCAATAAATGCATTTTCCAGTTCCGTTTGATTTTTGAATATTATGTGTTGTAAGTAGTGGTCCAGGTGTCTAAAAAAATGGTAGTCAGTAGGCGAGAGGTCCGGAGAGTAGGGTGGGTGAGGCAAAGTTTCATAGCCAAGCTCCAATAATTTTTGTGACGTTACACGTGACACATGTGGTCGAGCGTTTCATGCAACAAAATGGGCCCTTTCCGATTGACCAAAGAGGGCTTCATTACTGCCAATTTCTGATGCATGGTATTAATTTGGTTACAGTATGATTCAGCATTGATGGTTTCGCCAGGATTTAAGAAGCTGTAGTGTATTAAACCAAATGAAGCCCACCATACCGTAACCATTACCTTTTTTTGATGAGTTGGGGGCTTTGGAAAATGTATTGGAGCTTCTCCTTTGTCGAGCCACTGTCCAGAACGTCTAGTGTTATCGTAGAGAATCCACTTTTCGTCACATGTAACAATTCTGGCCAGAAATGGGTCATTTTTGTTTCGACAAAGAAGTGATGCACAAACATCAAAGCGCTGATTTTTTTGGCGATCGTTTAATGAGTGTGGAACCCAATTTTCGAGTTTTTTCACTTTTCCAATCGCCTTGAGGTGGTCAGCGACGGTCGTTTTACTGACTTTGAGTTGCTCTGCAAGTTCTCGAACAGTTGTTTTGGGGTTTTCTTCCACCACTGATCGCAGAACATCATCATTAAGAGAGGAAGGCCTTCCACGACCTTCTTCATCTTCAAGGCTGAAATCTCCCTCCCGAAATTTTTTAAACCACCTTTGCACAGTGCACTCATTAACACAACCCTCGCCCCAGACTTGGTTAATGTTTCTAGCCGTTTGGGCTCCGCTTCGGCCGAGTTTAAACTCGTAAAAGAAAATCGTACGAAATTCTCGCTTTGACATTATAAGGATGACTGAATTATTTCCAAGTAGCGGAATGCTACAGAGGTAAACAAACAATATCATTTGGAAGAGGATTAATAAGTGTTGACATTCATACAAATGAGTAATCCTGTAAACGTAAACAGAATATTTTATATAGATTTTTTTTAATGAAAACTTAAAATCCTGCATTATTTTCCGGACAACCCGATATATATATGTTACATTGTCATTATGCCTGGAGTCAACTTAATAAATGCTGATGTAAACTATCGAGCTAAGCATAAAGACCCCTTTTCTACTTCAGATCCACTCGGGACTCCGAACTAGATACATACTTTAATAGAACTCTTGTATTGAATGTATTAAAGTTTGTAAGTTATAGTAAATAAATGTTTTTTAATAACTTAGTTTCTCGCGTCGAAACTATAACTTNATCTAGAAAATCAGACTCAGCTATAAATTTCCAGCATCCTGATATGATGCAAAAGGGAAAACCGTCGTAAGTTTTGAAAACTTTTTATATATATATTATACATACATATAAAGTGAGTGAGAGAAATATATGTATGTACATATAAGGATAATTTATCTCTCTCACTCATTCAATCATCATGCACTCGCTTACGTTATTACTCTCTCTCCCTCTCTCCCTTTCCCACAAAATAATGTTTCGTTTATTTCCTTTAAAAGTAAAAAAATCAAATCAAAAATAAATCTACTATTTTGATCAATTAAATATTTTCCCACTTAGCTTAATAAGCCAGTTAATTCATTTCATGTCCATTAATAGCTTTTTAATTTTGAACACATATGAAAAAAGTATCTATACTGATCTCGCCATCAGTATTAGTGTTATTCAAACATTAAACGAAAGTTCACATTAAACTTATTAATAGTAAGGTTTAAAATGCTTTAAATAGAAAATATCGATTAAAGCTTATCGAGGTTCAGAAAAACAGCGTGATATGATTTTGTTCTTTAAATAGTTTATTTAAAAATTATAAATCGAACCGTAGAAAAAAAGACCTCAATTTTCGATAGTTACAAACAACAGATTGCTCTTGGAGAAAGAGACATTAATAGAAATCAACAGGTTGGAAGAGGTTTGACAAGATGTAACGGATATCTAAGACCAAAGTCTCAAGCCGATATAAGAATCTGGATGTATATAATTTTGAAATCAAGTCATTCTTCATTTCCTCCGAGGTCATGTGTTTAAACCAGATTTCCTTCTCACGATAAATAAATAAATGATTAGAGTAGAATAAACATGGAGATATTGGTCGATGAATACTAGTTACTTCTTCAGAAGGGAATGTTGAATTTCTTTAAACAAATAAGATAATACGAAGTAATTCGTAATGCTTTCTTTTTTGTCCCAATGACATCGATTAAAAACAAAAATTAAACGCGACAATTGTGCTTGGTTGTACCAACTGTAGTGGGCGGACCCAGAAAGATGACCAGGGCGATCGTGCATTAGGCATGACAACGTCTACTTAGTCAACTTTCCAACTTCCACAATTTTAAAATTTTGTTGTGTGCTTAGCTAAAAACGATAGTATGAACGAATTCATTATAAAAGTACAACCCCTTGGAACGGTATTCTCAATTATCCACACACAATATTTTTATTCGTCTATCAAAAATGATAAAATAAATAAAATAGCACTTCTATAATAAATATGTCTACTTCTGAAGTTTCTAAGTGTTTGATCACTCCTATAAAAGCCATCGAATTAAAAATCAATATACAAGTCTTTCTCTGTTGTGTTGTTACTATGTACTCCTATTGTCTTAATAATTATGTTTGAAAAAATAAGAAGTTGGACGGGAACTTATGTTAAAGGACAGGGATATACATAAGTTTTATACTGTTCATGCATTATTTCTAGATTAGCTAGTGAAACATTTGAAGTCTTTTCTGGACATCTTGGCAGAAAAACGAACATGATCTGTCTGAGTAGAGAAATGACCAAGTTTTCTGTTGTGACTAATGTAAATCTAGTTTTAAAAAGAGTAAGGTAATTCTTGTCACAAAGATGGGCTTAACTTCCAACTACCAGTTGGGTGTCGTTGACGAGATGTCAAACCACTTTACAGTACTTTATTAATACTATAATCCATTAAAAATTCATGGGATGCCGGGATTCGAACTGCTAGCGTTATTAGTCGGACGCTGTAACTACTCGATAACGCACTATCTACTTTGGAAGTTTCAGAACATTTTGGTTTGCCCATCCTCTCTATATTGGTCAGGCGGCTTTTAGCTTTTCGATACATTCAGAGGTCTATGTGTTATTTTCTTAGGTGAAAGTCAAAATCAAAGTAACCATGGAACCAACGGGTTTGAAATATCTGGAAAAAACAGATCAAATTCGTACGTAAAAGAGTACAGAAAGGTTTTCCATCAAAATAAAAACTTAATACAGAAAGATCTTCTGATATAACTGTTAAAATAAAAGACAAATGCTTAAAACATGATTGAAAAAACGATTTTTTGAATTCTGAGCCCTGAGGGGTGATGATCTACCGACATTTACACAAGTAAAATACTTTGCCAGTGGACGTGGCATCATCACCCAAGACTCAGGTGACACGAACTAAATATACGATTGGACAACTACGAAGCTTTATAGAACCGAAATCATAATTGACGGTAAAAAATTCTGTATTATTTCGACCATCTGGACATAGAGTTGTGGAATACCACCATCGAACATCAAACCAATCCAACAAAAGTCCACAGACGAATTCTACTCCTTACTATGACTCCAATCACAATGACCTTTGAACCTTCGTCAAAGATTTGATCCGTTCCCTCTTCACTGCAATCTTTCAACCCATCCTAACTCTACCGGCCCTCTCTACTTCTTCCCATCCCAAGAACTATCCACATCGCTCCAGACGACAAACTGACTGCCAGCATTGGTGACTTTTGGCTGTCTTCCGGGTGAAGTACTGGCAGTATGGTGTATAATTCCACATTTCCTTGCTTTTGCAGTACATTCGTTAAGTGTGAGCAAACATGGTCCTGATGTTTTACTCCTCATTCAGAAGTCGTATAAAAATAAAAGATCTGTGTTGCTCATAAAATTAGCAGTTGG